AATGCCCCACTTTTGACAGATTTTATAAACTAATCACGGTCGAGCCGACAGAGATGGCGCTTGGGCAGGTGGCCACCGTGCGCAACGGGTCACGTGGTGGGCAGTAGAAAGCTGCAGTGCAGGAAAGTTAATTGTTGTAGCGTACTTCAGTGCCCCCCCGCATCTGTGCTTCCTGGCTTCGCCAAACCTGTACTGGCCAGCCTGCTGAGGTATTGTAAAATAACCCCCATGACCCACATCTTGTGGGGATGCGCTCATCCAGCAGTTGCTTGATAAAGGTCTCTGCATATACAAGTACTTTACTTGGCAGATGCAGTTTTGCTAGTCCACGTTTATCGGGTTTCCATTTCAACCTTTTCTAAGAATGCCTTTTATTGGAATAATGTGTACAAGAGTGTGTGCGTGTGGGGAGCGGTCGCGTAGCGGTTCACATGCGGTGCCATGAACCTCGCGGCCTGAGTTGGATTCTCAGCCACGGTTAAAATCATTGGCCATTGTCGAAACCAGTCATTGGCTTCCCCTAGGTCGACTCAGCCTTGATTACCTGGTGAACGGCACTCGCGAGCCGAAGGCGGCCGAGGCATGGCGCTGGGCACACCGCCCCTCGTGTGCAGTGCTGCCATTGTCGGTGTTTGCGTCACAGCACTTGCCCCAGCGACGTATGTCGGCTACACGGTGGACCGTTGTGCGTGAGCCCATCATGCCCATGGTTGTGTGACTCCTGCCAGGGCCTCGCCGCCGTCACGCCGCATTGCCTGGGCTCGTGGCTGCGCAGCAGCAGGCGACTCTGCGAGCTCTGCATTGGTCAGACCCACGACAGCAAGGGTCTGGCAGAGGTATTGTGCACCACCAGAACAGTTTTTGTTTCTTGTGTTTAGTTTTGTTGTCCTTACCCTCGCACCTCCAATGAGCACGGTTAGCTACGTCCCATGCGAAATAAATTCAACATCCGTTCAACATGCATACACCACCGCCCCAGATGTTCTACATTGCTTCATTGCCGCTCTTCATTTTACTTTGTGATTGCTTTTGTCATTGTGGTGGTCCAGGCCATTAATGCCAATGGGACCCATTCCGGTCTCTTTTTTTTCTCAGCTGGTTCAACAAAAATACACAGGAGAACTTGAACTTGATTTTCAGCTGCCGAGACGATTTTGTGGGTTACAAGAGATGATCAAATTTCAGTCTTGTTTCTAAAATACGTTTTTGCTTCAAATATGTCGCCCGGATAATCCCTTGGGATGGAAGGTCTCATTTGGAAGGGTGTCCGACACAGGCAACTCTCGATCACCGATCGAGGTTGCGGATTTCACGTGTAAGTGCAGAAGTAAACACTTGTCCGCTCCTCACCCGTTGGGGGTCATTGGGATGGAAGGTCTCAATGCTCACATCACCACAAACACGTAAAAATCTAAAACTGTAAACGATTAAAAATTTTACCCAGTAAGGGCCCACTAAGCGTCCGCTAAGCGGCGTTGCCCTTTTTCGGGAGTGACCTGGCCACGAATGATACCTCTGACGAGAAGTGGCTTCTCATCGTGTGGACATTTATCACCGCAGCCAGATACTCCCAACGCGTGTTTCTAAATGTGGAGGGAAAAATCTAAGGAACCGGATAAAAATCCACGCCACCGTGGGGAGAGAGACACGCAAACTCCTCCTTATACCAAGCGAGCTAGTTAACATCTCGCCACGGTGGCAAGGAATCTGATCAGAGGATGCATTTTTCTCTTCTTGGTTCTTTCGGTAAAGTCACGTAGAAGGGAAGTAATAAAATAATAAAAATAAAACATAATAATGGTGAGAATTATTTTATTATGTTTTATTTTTATTATTTTATTACTTCCCTTCTACGTGACTTTACCGAAAGAACCAAGAAGATAAATCCCTGCAGTCACGAAAGCTTTAAATCGAGAGGATGCATTCTGCATCTTCACCCATAGTCTCTAACAAGTAAACAATAGCTTTGGATTTAATAGCCTAGTTCACGTGATTTTCATTATCTGTTTTTTTATCTGGATCAACCCTCCCCTCCCCCAATACTCTAGATAATTTATCAAATGTTGACTGGTCCTGTGTCAAGATCATGCAAATTCCTATCCCGTATTCCCTTATTCCCTGGCCCTGTCTGCACAGGTTACGTTTGTCTCCTGCACCAGGAACGGCTGGGATGAAGTCGACAAGGCCGCCTGGGAGGTGAGCTCATCGATGGTGCCCCTTGCACACCGCTCGAGTACCGCACACGCCACGTGCCTGTCCCTCGGGCTAATCACCCTGGGGATCATCATCATCATGGTGCATCCTCACCGCCCTCGTGACGCTCACACCTCATTCACATGTGCCCTATGTCATTGCCTGGGGGGGGGGAAGTGACATACACACAGGGCTGTCCGTCTCCAGTTGAGTCAGATGTTAACTCCCTCGCAGTGTACAGGAGGCGGTCGTAGGTTCCATCCCGACCCTGACGGCTGCTGCTGCTGTATATTTGGAGTTTGCATGTCTTCCCCGTGGTCGCGTGGATTTTTCTCCCGGTACTCCAGTTTTCCCCTCCACATTTAGAATCGATGTCACGCGTTTAGAGTATTTGGCTGCTGCTATACATTTCCACACAATAAGCCACTTCATTGGGCTATCATTTGTGATGGCCAGGCCGCTTCTGAAAACGACGTAGCTCAGTGGGCGTCACCTGGTTAAAATAAAAAATGAAACACACAGGGCTGTCCCTCTTCAGCTGAGTTTCGTGCCTTTTATTCTTTTTGCAACGACAGCCTGCTTTCCCAGGAAAAGCTCACCGTGTCTCTTTTTCCGGAGTGTTCTGACACTTTTTCACAATCGGGGGTAATTTTGCCATGTGTAATGGCAGCTGATTAATTTGCAGGTAATTTTTCAGCATCGAGACGTTTGGGCTATACCAGTTGCATTGTGTGTATGGTTTTTTTTTGCTATGGGAGGAAACCACAGAACAAGGAGAGAACGAACAAACAGCGCGCAGAAAGACGCCCGACCAGGGTATCGAACCCACTTCTGAGGCTGTGCCACCGTATCGCAACTTTTATTTGTTTTGTTTTAGTCTCCAAATTACAATAAAACCTCTTAAAGCCGGACTAATTGGGGTGAGAGCCAATCCAGATATGATGTCTGGCACGTTGGGCTTCAGGGTGGCGCTCCAGTAAACATGGAACGTGGTGGATCGAATCACGTTCCAGTGTTGGCCCAACGTTGCACGTTTACTTGGGCGGTGGTAATGCGCGTGACCCGTAGCCACCAGGACCTGGGCTGGATTCCCGGCTCTGGCCCAAATTTCTTGAGGGGTTTGTATTCTCTTCCCCCCGTTCTGCATGGATTTCCTCCTGGTTCTCCTGTTTCCTCGCTAAGCTATAAACACATAAAAAGTAGAGTCATTGGTGTTGACCATAAATCCCAAGTGTGGCTTTCGTCGGCAAACTGTTTATTGTTATACTAATTTGATTGTAATTTGTATTCATAATTATAACAAAAAAAATTTACACACATGAGTAACACCGAAAATTCGATTACTAGCTCGCACTGCACTGTGAACTCGGCAAACCAGCTTCTACTCATAATGTAATTGCTTTCCACGGCTAACATCAGTGGCGCGTGATATCCGAACCCCCCTTCGTCACACGCACTGACCAGCACGGTGACCTATATTCCAGTGACCTCCATGGCTGGACCAATATGGCATTTGGGAGGCTTGCGAGCCGCCCGCCGCGTCTGCTTGCGCTGGTTAACGACGCTGCGCACGCGCGCGCTTGCGTGCATGTGTGACGCTGCCGTGCAGGACGCGCCGCCGGCGATCGGCGCGCTGGTGCGGTCCCTCCCTCCCCTGGAGCTTGGCATGGACGAGGTGCTTCTGGTGACTAGGGCCGAACGAGGTTTAGCGCTGGGCAAGGGTGGAGAGCACATGGCACCGTCACCGCCCGCGGGGGAGGTGAGGCAAGACACGGTTACGGAGCGCCAGGCCCTCTACTTTCATTTTTAATTGGTATCTAAATTACGCGAGACACGATTAACCCTTTCCCAGATTTTCTTAATCGGAACGGAAAGCGGGAGGGCGTGGCACATTTTGGCGGCATGCTATCAAAGTGCGGTGGTCGTGTCGCTACGGTTCCCTGTGGTGAGTACAATGTCTTTAAAAACAACGGCGCTGCGCCTCCCTGAAGAAAATGAACGCTGAACCGCTTGCCGCGTTCCGAGATTCAAAGGTGAACGTGACCCACCCTGAAACGAAAAAGAGCTTCATAGCTCATCGGATTCCTCCAGTATAAATACAGATTCTGATTCTGAACTTGCAGATGTCTCGGAACGGGAAAGGGTTAATTGGCCATTTGTGTTTAGATTGCATCGTTCCAGTGACTTGTAAAGGTCAAGGTGCAGCGCTACATTCCTCGAGACCTCCCACACTGGCCTTAGAAGAGGTGGCAGGCAGTACCTGCACTCGAGCCCAGCGTGCACGACCTGCCGATCGACCGATTGCAATGAACCAATTTGTACTGCTGGGTGGGCAGGGGCACCCTGGGGATGCAACTGGAAGAGTGCAGTCGAACCGGCGACCTCTGGTTTGCATGTCCAGTGCGCTGACCATGACACCAGGGCAGCTTCCTATGTTTCTCAGTTAAGTCTATGACTTGGATATTCTACGTGGAAAACTGCTCACTTTTTTTTTACCAGTTTCTTTTTGCGGTTATTGCAGGTCCAGTATTGCTGACCATTACACCTGGTGGCATCCGCAGAAATGTTTATATATCTTACCGAGCTCTTGATTCACCGGTTTCTTTGTGCCCCGGTGCAAAGAATGAGACGGGGGTTGGCGGGGGGGTGGGGGAGAGGGGGGGGGCACCCTGTCACACGCCCGTGCCGCGTGTCGCGCAGGGCCACGGGAATGGCGCCATCTGCCTGTATCGCTGGCGGCCCTGCCTGGAGCACCAGCTGCACGTGGCCGCGCTCGGCTGCTCGTGGGCGAGCGACCGCCGGGTGGGCGACCGCCGGGCGGGCGAGCGCCGCGCCGGCGCCGGCGAAATGGCCGGGCCGGCCCACGGCCGCTGCACGCTGTGCGACGTCGCTACGTCCGTCGAGGCGGAAGACGACACCAACTGCTCCGTGAGCTCCATCGAGGACGACTTTGTGACGGCGTTCGAGGTGCTGGAGGACGAAGGTAAGGCGCCGCGGTTGAAGCGCTGTGGGGAGCGGTCCCCGGACACTGTTGCAGATATTAGGATCTGCAGTTTCGATGTTGAAAACGATGTTCGTGCATTGTTGTCTGCGAAGCTGGTTTGAGGGTTGGCAGGGCAGTGATCCACTGGTCTTGATAGGATGGGAACCACTGCTCTAATCCACGTGTTACTCTTTCCCAGCACGTCTCTCTCTCCCCACCCCCCCCTAAAAACCCTTCTCTGATGTTCGCCTCCAGGTGGGAGCGGCGTGGAGAGCGACCCCAGGCATGGCGGCGTTCACTGGCTGCAGGGCGGCGCTCCGGGCGGCGTGGAGGCCCCCGGACCCTCGGCCCGCGTCCCGGCCGTCCGGCCGCACGGCGGTCCCCTGGGGGGCCCCGGCGACGACTCGCAGTTGGCGGCCGGGTCGCGCTCGTCCCCCGAGCGTGGCACGGCGCCGCCCAGCGCTCCTGCTGCCGCCCCCGACCCCCGTGGCCTCGCGCCGCCGCCACCTGCCCGGCCGGGCGCCGCCGCCGCCGGCGCAGCAGCTGCACTTCTCCGCGGCGTCTCCTCTCCCGGGTCGATGTTCCGGCGGCGCCGGCAACGTCGGCGGCGACGGCCGCTCGGACCAAAGCATCCGGGGTGGAGGCGCCGACGCGGCGTTTCCGTCGCCCGGCAAGGAGCTCGGCGACTCGTCCGGCTCCGACGTGGAGCCGCAGGGGCCGTGTTCCGACTCGGAAGTCGAGACTGGGAGGCCGTCGTTCCTCAAGGACGCCGCCGCCGCCGCACGCGAGGAGGAGGCGGCGTCCGAGACGGAGGAGTCGAACGGCTCGAGCCCCAGCCCCGTCATCTTCCTGGACGAGGAGGGATACGAGCGCAGCATGCGCGCCGAGATCCACGTGCCCAGCATCCCCGCGCTGCTCGGCCACGACATCGAAGACTCCGACTCGGAGCTCGGGGAATTCTTCGACAGCCGCGAGCGCTTCGGGACGCCGGACGGCACGGGCGGCGAAGGCGGCGCGGGGGCGAAAGACCGGCGCCTGCCGGCTCCGGGGCGTGGCGCCCCCAATCCGCGGCGTTTCGATCGCTCCTTCCCACCGGCCGGGCTGCGGAAGCCGCTGCCCCGGAAGCCGACCGACGCTCCGGGTTCGCCCGTCGTGGGTCTCGTCGGGGGCTCGCCCACGCCGCCCCCCGCGGGCTTCGCCGACGGCCGGGACCCGTCTCCCCGGCCGGCGCTGCCGTCGCAGCAGCCGGAGTGGAAGCGCGCGTCGGCGTTCACGCCTCCCAACGTGCGAACCGGCGGCGGCGGCCCCGGTGGCGCCTCCACCGTGGCCGACTTGGCCACACAGATCTCGAGCAGAATCTTCCAGTCGCTGGCGCCGGTGGCGCCGAGCGCCGGGCCCGGCGAGGGGGCAGAGGGCGGCCGGGCGGCCGAGCCGGCGCCTCCGGCCACGGCGGAGGAGAGCGAACCGAACTCCGTGTCGGCGCTCGCAAGCCACATATCCAGCAATATCATGAGGTCGCTGTCGCGCGCTCACGGGGAGAAAGGCAGCGGCGGCCCCGTCCAGCGGAGAGGGAGCGACGCCGGCGATTCTCCGTACTGCGTCGCGGGTGGCGGCGGTGGCGGCGGCAGGGCTAGGAACGCTACGACGGGCCCGTATCAGCGCACCCGGCGCGAGGGCGACAAGTTGGCGAAGCTGGGCGAGTTTGCCGGGAAGCTGTCGTCCGCCGTGCTGGGCTCCGCCCTGTCGGGCCTCCCGACGGTAGCGGAGGCGCCGCCGCCGACCCGCAAGCAGCGGGAGGGCGGTGGCCGGCGGGGGCCGCACGGCCGCCGGGTTCGCTCGCGCATCAAGGCTCCCGCCTCCTCCTCGGGGCGGTGCTGCTGGGCGGCGCCCGGAGAGCTGGCGAGCGTGAGCGCGATGGCCGACGGCCTGGTCGGGGCCTGCTTTTACGACGCCATTCACGAGGTGGCGTACGGGAGGAGGCGGGGTACGGCGCCCGCCCCACGCCGGGCCGCCGGTCTCGCCGCCGGGGCCGAGAGGCTGGCGTCGCTGGTGGACGGGGTGGTGAGGGGCGCCATGCTGAGCGCGATGCAGGCCCTGCCGGACGCCTGGCACGGCCTCTACCTGGGCGCCGTGGTGCAGTTCTCGGGGGAGATGGCCGAGCAGGCCGTGTTCGAGGCCACCATGGAGGCGAGCCACCTGCCGCACGAGGGCCGCGCGTGGAACGCCGGCGGCGCCGTCGTGGACGTGTACTCGTCCGACCTGGCCGAGTCCGTGCTGCAGGAGGCCTTCATCGGCCTCTCCTGCTCCGCGAGCACATTCCCCTCTCAGGCGGCCATCAGCATTTCCTGCAACGGCCAAGTGCCGGGTACCGGTGGCCTTGCGCCGCCTCCGGAGGACGCCGGCGGGCCGTTCCCTCGCGGCCCGGACGGGCCGTGCCTCGTCGAGGCCTTCGGCAGGAAGCCGCCGAGGCGCGGTGACTTCGCGGCGGCGCCGACTCTGGTCTCGGAGAAGGAGTCTGGCTCGGAATCCGGCGACGGCACCAGCTTCTTGTCGTCGCCTCTGCCGTCCGTGGCGGGCCCTGGCCCCGAGCTGGCGCCGGTCCTGGGCCGGTACGCGGGGTCCTTCTCGTCGGCGCTGTTGCGGGAGGCTCTGAGCGCCGCGTCCACGCCGCGCTCCGCGGAGGAGTTGGCGCGGAGGCCGAGCGGCGCCGGCGTCCTCGACGGCACGGAGGCGGCGCCCGACGGCGCCCGCGGAACGGCGGAGCCGGCCGAGTTGGCCGAGCGTCTCTCCCTCTCCATCCTGCGCTGCTCCGTGGAGGAGGCCAAGGCGCGGCTGGTGCGGCGCGAGGGCTCGGAGACGCCGGCGGGGGAGGGCGGCGGCGGCGCCACGGGGACGCGGTCGCCCGCCACTCCGCCCCCGAGCCCCGTGCGGACTCCGGAGCCGTCGCTCGATCGCGATGGCCCGCGCCACCCGGGGCTCCGCCCTCCGCCGCGTCCGTCCGGCCGGACGGGGGAAACGACGGGCGGCGGCGACAGGAAGGTGATGCGGAGGCTGAGCAAGGATCTGAAGCGGGAGCTGTCCAAGTGCTTCCAGCCCACGGTGCCGCCCCCCACGCCCCGCGCCATGACGGCCGCCGAGCTGTCGGGCATGGGCCGCGACGCCGAGGAGAAGGCCGAGTTCGTGCTGCGCGTCGTGCGCTCCCTGTCAGAGGCCGGGGCCAGCAGCGAGGACGAGGCCGAGGGGGAGGGCACGCCCGTCCACCGCGACGTGCGGGCGTACTCGAGCCAGCTCGCCGGAGACATCATCTCGCTGGCGACGGAGCTCGCGTCCATTTACATCGACGACACGAAGCCCAAGGACGTGTATTTCCGCAGGGAGCAGCAGCAGAAGAAGAAGAAAGCGGCGCCGGGCGGTGCCGCCGCCCGGCGCGTGGACGTGCTGTCCCTGGTGAAGGCCCGACTGGAGCGGTCCGCCGAGGCCATGACGCGCAACATCCTGCAGTCGTCGCTGGCGGCCGCCAACCGCGGGAGCGCGTGGGCGACCGCGCCGCCGCCGATCGCCGAGCGCCCGGACAAGCTGGAAGACGCGACGGAGGCCCGGCTCCACGACTGGGCCCTCCGCCTCGCCCTGCCCGGAGGCCGCGCCGCCTGCGGCCTCACCAGCTGGCCCCACTGCCGCTACCGCGAGAAAGCCGGCAGGGTCGAGAGCCTCAAGGTTCACCTCCGGGCCTTCGCCGACGTCTGCGCCGAGGACGTCGTCGCCTCGTCGCTGGCGGCCGCCGCCAAGAGGCCGCGCGGCGGCGGCCGCCTCTGCGGCTGCCTCCGCGCCGCCTGCTGCTCCCGCTGCTGCGGCGCGGGGAAGCGGTCGAGGAGCGACAGCATCACGGAGGAATTCTACCTCTTCGTGACCCGAGGGGCAGAGGGCGCCCCCAGGAAGGCCGGGGGAGGCGGCTGCCCCTTGCATCGCCCGGGCGCTGGCAAGGCCGGCACGGCCGCATCGTCGGCGCTCGGCCGCTTCGCCGAGCGGGTGGCGAGCGACGTGCTGGCGTCGGTCCGCGCCGCGGGGGTTGCCGGCGGGCCGAGCGCGTCCCGCCACCCGGCGCCGTCTCCCCGCGTGGAGCTGTACGCCGCGAGGCTCGTCAACGTGGCGCTGTGGCAGGGCAAGTGGGAGGTGATCCGCCGGCGCGGCCCGCCGCCGCTGCCCTCGCCGCAGATGAGGTCCACGCCCCGGGCGGGCGGGTGGCCCCGCGCGTCGGGCGCGCGGGGCCGGGGACCGCCGCTCATCCGCGTGGAGGCCGAGGCGGGGTCGGCGGGGAGGCTGGAGGCGGAGGGGAAGGGGAGGGGTGAGGGGGAGGACGGGGGGAAGAGGGCGGCGAGCGACGCGACTGCCGTGGGCGAGAGCGCCACGTCGGACAGCGGCATCGTCAGCAGCTTCGCGGGCAGCAGGTGACGGTGACGCGGACCGGGCGACGCACGCCGTTGTTTCGTGTGTGTGCGCACATGCGTGCGTTGAACTTCTTTCGCACCACCGTACGTAGGCCAACGGTGCTAATTCGAGGTGCAGGGCGAAGGACAAAAAGCAGTTCTAAAGAAATGAGTTTGTCAATCTAGATGCTCATTTAAAAGTGGCATAACTCCAGCGGCTTCCTAATATCGGAAGGAAGATGGCTGCAGACGCGCACATCTGAAAGCAGACGATGCGTTGGCTAGCCAAAAAAAGAAACTGGCGACTACTCTGAGCACACACGTGGGATACAAAGCAAGCGCCTTCTTGTCCGGGGATACCGCAAGGGCATTCCGGGGTTGTTGGTTTGTTACGGCAATGGTGGTGGTGGTGGTGGTTTTGGTGTTGGCGGGGTTAGCGGCCATGTTGTACCATTTGCAGTGCGCCCCTGCTGACCCGCAATGCACGCTCTGGAGAGAGGATCTCCACGGACGCGCCGCGCGCAGGAGGAGGAGGAGGAGGGGGCAGCAGCGAGGGCAGCTCGGGCAGCTTGGGCAGCTGGGCCCAGCTGAGCAGCAAGGGGGTGGGCGACGAAAGCAGCAGTTTCCTGCAGCTCAGTGACAGGTGCTCGCAAAACTCCCACGCGGACACGTCATCTCACCGTCGTCGTCGTCATCTGCTGTGGTTTTCTCGACGAAAGTGGTGTCACGTCAAAGCAAATAAACCTCTTAGGACTGTACATAATGGTGAGTGGCACGATCCCAACTGTGAGGGGAAGTAAAGTGGGGCTTTGGCAGGACGAGTCACGGCTAGGGAGGGGGGTGGTGGGGCGGGCGATGGGGTGACGGTGGTCAAGAATAATGACGGAGCGACGGCCAGGGCATGGAATGCATCCTGAGAGGACGTTCAGCGGGGAGACGGAGAGCGGTGAGATCAGGGAATGTGCAGGTGCTGGCTGGATTGTTGAATCGCCGGGTCATGTGAGATCATTATCGGAATCTTTATTCATCCTGGAGAAATCCGATGAGCTGTGAAGCTCTTATTCATAGCTGTCCGGATGGCGGTGCCTTGGGGAGGCCTCCATCCAGCAGTGGATTGACCAAGGCTGATGATGACGACGATGATGTACATTATCTGATATTGACATTAAAAATCGAAAATGTTGTAATCCGGAACGCACCCCCAGTATAAACGTAGGCGTGTGTAGAACAGTCACGAAGGGTGGGATGGCCGCACCAATTCTCGGCCACCTTTGTCTCCCCACGCCATTGCTGCAACACGCATCCTTGACCCACTGGAGCCTCGTGCCTTCATCACTCACTCGCCCACCATGACTCCAATCCCACGCTCCCCACCCCTCCTCCATTTCTCCTCCACCTTCCTGCGTTCCCACTCCCTCTCTCCTTCGTTCCCACTCCACCCTCCTCCCCCCTCCTTTGTTCCGCCTCTTTCGCTCCCCCCCCACCCTCCTCCCCCCGTCACTTTGCTGCCGGCCCCCAGCAATGGGGCTGGCAGCAGCTGGAGCAGCGTGGCCACAGTGGACGTCGAGGGCTCCGACGAGAGCTTTTCCTTCCCCACCCTCTCCACCAGGTGCCCGCGCGCACTCCCACACGGGTACCTACGCACTCACACGTGCGCATGTCCACACGTGTACCTGCGCATGCTCACGCGCGCACCTGTGTGCGTGTACCCACGTGCTCGCGCGTAGCTGCACGTGTGTACCCGTGCGCTTTCCCGCACGTGCACCCATGCGTGCACCCGCTCGTGTACCCGCATGCATGTACCCGTGTGTACCCGTGTGTACCCGCGTGTACCCGCGTGGGTGCTGTCGGCTCTCCCCCTGCATGGCTTCCCCTGCAGTATTCGTCGTCAAGTCATCGCATGGCAGTATCAGCAGCAGCAGCGGGGGGAGTGCTTTTTCCTCTAGTGCATGTTGATCCTGTGTGCGCGTGCATGCCTGTGGGAGCGGTAGTGTCGCGGTTAGCACTACGCTGCGCTACGAACCTTGCGACCTGAGTTCGATTCCCGCTCATGGCCAACCCCGGTGACGATTACCTGAACCGGTCCTGGGCCTCCCCGTGGTCGAATCGGCCTCAAATGAGTACCTGGTGCGATGTGTAAACATCGCCACTAGGGAGACAAAGGCGGCCGGGTGTAGTGTTGGCTACCCACCCCCTCGTGTGACGTGCCGGCCTTCATAAGTGCTCGCTAACAGCACTTGCCCCAACAATCTGTGAAGGCTACGCGGGGGGCGGGGTCTTTGTGCGTCTGGTTACCGAGCGTCGCGACGACGGCGTGGTTGTCTTAGTTGGTGCGTCTCCCCGTGCGAGCCCTGCCGCCGTCTCTGTGCCAGCTGCCGCCGCTTGCGCCGCGTGGGGCCACTGCACTTCGTGTAACAACGTCGGCAAGCAGACAATGTCCCCCTCGCATTTCCGCCTCTCCACATTGCGTCATTTACACATCCCGTCAGCCACGAAGCCTCTTGGGAGCGCAGAATTCCAGTGGCGTTGGTACAATACAAGCAAGCTCTGGATACGGTTTTGACATCGAGTGTCCTGTCAGCAGTCAGGCTTGGCTGAAGCGACGCTGACGAACCCCTAGACGTCGTTAGGCAAGGATCCCCTCCCTTTTAAACACGGGATCCCAGTTCGACGCAGAATAACGGCTAGCGGCGTCGTGTGCAATCCGAGCTGTGCAGTGGCCCCCGCGTGGCAGCGTCGCCGGCCTGCGTGCGCTCAGCGTGCACCGCACCGCACTGCACCGCATCGCACCGCACTGCGTACCGCGCGGTGGAAGACGCCTTCGGCCGTGCTCGCGCCGCACGGCACGCCGCTCTCCCGCGCTGCGCTGGTCTGGGCGGCAGGGCAGGCCCCCAGAGCCTCCTCGTGACTGCCCCGGCCTCCTCATGTCGCGAGTGACTTGTGGCGCGAGCGCGGCCGCAGCTGGTGCCACCGGGGCCGCGCGCTCTTCCGCCGCCGGCTTCCGATGTAGCCGGCACAGCGTCTCCCCCCCTGGCCCCGTTCTCCTGCCCCGCCCCCGCACCCCCCCCCCCCGCACCCCCCCCCCCCGCCCCCACCTCCTGGGTCAGACGCCCGGCTCCCGGTCGCGCTGCCCTCCTCCGCCGTGCCGCGCGTTGCTTGTTCGCGATGCCCGACGTTCCGCTGCGCGTGCCGGGAAGCCGCCTCGAACCGGCTCCATTTCCCCCCGCCCCCCACCGACGGAGCTCTCGGCTCGCGGAGTGGAATGTCACTGTCCCCCGCCGACGGTGACGAGTGATGGACACCGCCGTTGTCCCCCCCCCCCCCCCCTTGCGTGCGTGCGAGCAGCGATCCGCAGGGGGCCCCGGAGAACACTCGGCCCACGGGAGCCTCCGGGACAGGTAAATGCGAGACGCAGGTTCGCGCGTGCGGGCAGGCAGGGCGGCCCGATGGGGGGGGGGCGGCGGGTAACACTCACGGCAAGGAGGACCCGGGTTCGATTCCTCACTCTGGAATCTTTCGTCGTGGAGTTTTGTGTCTTTCCTCCGTGTTAAACACACACAGTGCCACCGGTGTTGGCCAAACATCTCGGTGTAGCAGGGCGCTCCTGAATAATACGCCTTTGGGCGTGGCTTTCCTGGGTAAATAGCTGATTATTGTTATTGTTATTATTCCATTACGATTGTGTTGGTAAGAGTGGGAGGAGCCTTTTCCTCACTGAGGGCCGAATCGGACTTACAGAATCGGAATCAGAATGTTTATTCTGGAGGAATCTGATGAGCTGTGAAGCTCTTTTTCACAGATGTCCAGGGTTGGTCGGGTCAGAACGCGACAACAACAAACAGCACAGAAACTTGATACGTGTGCAAAGTATAGGAAATGTTAGCAAATCACTAAAAATAATACGAATAAAACTAAACTGTTTTTATTTTATTTTACAGATTAAGGCCCACTGAGCTATTTGTGGCCTGGCCACAAATGAAGTGACTTAACACGCGGTTATTTATAGTAGCCACACGCACACCTTGGCGTTATCCAGTAACGCCGCAAAGAACAAGTGCCTGAATGTGCTAATATTAGAAACCCGGCGCTGCCAGGTTAGTACGGCTCAAACGCTTGCAGCGACGGATGCGCATCACGCATCGGCTGTTTCGATGTGGTAGGCTTCGTGCATCTGCGGCTCACACGAAGTGAGTGAAATGTTGGTGGAGGACATGCTGATGTTGCTGCTAATCAATGTGATCATTCCTGAAAACGTTCTGCCACTGGTGATGGTCAGCGCATGCTCACGTCATCGCCGGCGCTGCCGATGCCGCATCTGAACTTCCCCTTCCGCCGTGAGCAGCGGTTAGCGCGCTGCGCTGTCACGTTGTGTCACCTGCCGCGCCGGGAGATTGACTCGAATTGGCGACCTCTAGATTGCAATCGCGGTGCGCTCACTGCGGTGACTACAACCACGGCAGCGCCATCCCCGTGTCGCTCGGTTCAAGAGGTCAACAGGAACACGCGTGTTGTTCGACACGCGTGTCCAGGGTATGTGGAGCGGTTAGTGTAGCCGGTGAGCTCCGCTGCTGCCCTCCGAACCCGGCTACGACCCGAGTTCGATTCCCGAGTATCTGAACCGGTCCTGGGCTTCCCCTAGGTCGACTCGGCCTCAAACGAGTACCTGGTGCGGCGTGTAAACTTTGCCACCGGGCAGACGAAGGCGGGCCGGGCGTGGCGCCAGCCACCCACCCCCCGTGCGCCGTGCCGCCCCCCTTCGTAGGCGCTGCTGCGCTAACAGCTCTTGCCCAAACGGTGTGTTGAGGCTACATGGTGGATCTCTTGCCTTTGGCTTTGTGCGCTCGTGTCGTGTTTGCGCCCAGCCGTGTGGAAGCAGGACCTGCTGGTGCACACCGTGTGGCCACGCTGCTCGGGCCTCCGGGCCGAGGAGGCCGTGCTGGTGCTGTGGGCCGTCGCGTCCGCCCGCGGCGTCGCCCGCTTGCGCGTCACCGAGTCTCAGCTGCCAGATCCGCAGCAGGTAGGGCGGGGGGAGGGGGCTCCCGGGGGGGGGGGGGGTGAGGGCCGTGGGGTGGTGGGGATAGGAGGAGGAGGCGTTGTGCTTGGAGAGGGTTTCAAGTTTATTATTTTTTTTCACGTGGAGGCCAGGATAGAGGAGACTCATTCACGAAGGTGATCTGGGCCGCCAACATTACAACAGCGGAAACACGAACTACAGAAACTAACGAGTAGAAATGGTTCTGTATGGTAGTGAGTGGTTCTGTGTGGTAGTGAGTGGTTCTGTGTAGTTGTGAGTGGTTCTGTATGGTAGTGAGTGGTTATGTGTGGTTGTTAGTGGTTCTGTGTGGTAGTGAGTGGTTCTGTATAGTAGTGAGTGGTTCTGTATGCTGTCGTGCGCTTTTTGCAACTCTGTTTCATCTCTGTGTTGCTCCTTCTGCTGCTGCTGCTCCTGCTGCTGTCCCAGCTGCAGGCCCTGGTGCGAGCCGCCCGGCGCCGCCTGTGGACCGTGGGGGACCTGGTCCGCTCCCTGAGCCGGCAGCGCGAGGCGGCGGACGCGGAGGAGGAAGAGGAGGAGGGGAAGGGGGAGGAGGGGGTGGTGGTGGTGGAGCCCACCGGCGACCCGGAGCACCACGCCTCCCTCTTCCAGCGGCTGCTGGGCCTCACCTAGCAGCCCGAGGGGGGGGGGGGGGATCGTCGTCCCTCCCTCCCTCTCCCATGCCCCCCCCGTCACCTCCCCCCCCCCCCCTGTCCCGTCACGCACCCCGCTCTGGCTGGGACCCCACCTGGTCAAGGTGGCACACGCGGCGGGGGTGGGGGCGAGTGGGGGGTGGGGGCGAGTGGGGGGTGGGGGCGAGGGGGGGGTGGGGGCGAGGGGGGGGTGGGGGCGAGTGGGGGGTGGGGGCGAGGGGGGGGTGGGGGCGAGGGGGGCGTGGGAGCGAGGGGGGTTTGGAGGCGAGGGGGGGGTGGGGGTGGTGATGGCCCCCCGGGTTCCTGTTCGGGCGTCAGGGCCGCTCGCTGAGTGTTTGTGCGGAGACCGAGTATTACCACGGAAACCAGGTGTTTCCACGGATACCAAAGTGTGCCAAAGGATACCAGGGGCTGCCACGGGTACCGGGTGTTTCCACGGTTACCAGGTGTTACCATGGATACCCGGGTGTTCCCATGGACGCCGAGCGTTCCCAAGGGTTACCGGGTGTTCGTTCGGATTCAATTCGACAACCCACACGCTCGGACCGATCGCGCGGCTTGAGACTCCCGCGCGCACCCTCACCTCGCTCCCAACTCCTCCCGAATGTAACGCCAGGCCCCACCCGAACCCTGACCCTCGGTGGATCTAACCCGACCACAGTCCCTAATACTTGACCTCGACCCGAACCCCCCTAACTGGACCAGGCCCCCTAACCCCTCGTCCCAGCCCCCCGCTCGTGTGCAATGCTTGGGGTGAATCGAGCTCTGGCTGCGTTAGGGTCTCCTACATCTCTCGGCTTCGCCATTTCACACTTTGCTGTCGTGTTTCACGCGCACAGGTGGTTTAATAAGCTCTCGTACTTGGGGTGTCTGTGCGTTGTTGCGTTGCGCGTGCGTGCTGTGCGCTTTTGGAACCCCCCTCTGTGCCCCCTCCGCTCTCGTCGGTTCTGGACCAATTGCCCAGTGCTCCTGCTGTTGTGGGTTCCCGGGGCAGTGCGTCGATTGTCAACAAACAGGTTAAAGGAAGGCGCAGCCCTGCGAAGTGCTCGCTCACGGCACTGCTGGCAGAAGTGGAGATGAAGGAAAGAGGTCCCTCCAGGGAATATTTTTTGGCCTTCACTCCCACACTGGACCAGACATCTTGGGAGAGGCAGGAGCACCCAGATTTGACCCCACTTTATGCGCCCTTACCGATAGACTGTGGTGGTGAACCCATTCGTACTGCTGGATGCACGGAGGCGACGGGGGGGGGGGGATTTAAGAATATTTGGTCGTAAAGGAAAGGCGGCCGCGGAAGCCACGACCACTTTTACGGCTTCTGGGTTTTTCTCGGGATCCTCCAATTTCGTGATGGGAGCACTGGTCGTGCGCAACGCAGCTCCTCGCCGCAGAGTAGCGCCCCGCAGAGTAGCGCCCCGCAGAGTAGCGCCCCGCACGGGGGTTGTCTGCTCCCCTTCACGTGGCGGGCGGCAGTTGCCGCGTCCTCCCGCCCGCGATTGTTCGGCACGCACGCAAGGTAGCCACGGCCGCTCGCCATTTGGCTTGGTGTAGGGGGCATCGTCCCCCGCAGCCCCCGGATTCTCCGATTTCAAGCGGGCGGCCACGAGAGGCCGTTAACGCAGCGCAAGGGGAGAGCGTTGCACCTCCGCTTGGCGCCCGGCGCGGCTGCTCGCGACTCCATCGGCTTTCATCGGCAGACCTTGCAGGCAGGCCACGGCCGCCGGACGATGCCCTACCGTGCGAGTGAGCCGTCACGTCTCGAGAGATTTCCCCCCCAGGTGAATAAAGCAGATAAAGTTAAGTGGAGCGAAATAGTGGTGGATGGGGCTCGCGCAACGGTAGCACAGCGGCAGAGTTATCCCCCCCCCCCCCCTGCAGTGTGGATTTTGTTGCTTTTGGGCACGAAAAAAATTGTGGTTGAATGATGGCCGCGTTGCGGCGTCAATCACCGGTGCTGAGAGTCCGGAACCGGTGACGTCGGTAACGAACGCGCCGATTGATACGGGGCGGACGCACGAACCGCACCGCGGCCTAAGTTCGACTCCTCGAGGTAAAGGCGCGGCCCTGCAATTGGTTGCTCACACCACTGCTGGGCAGACGGGTCATCACGGGGAGGGAGCCCTCGGGGGTGTTTGGTCTACTCTTCCGCGCCGGCCACACGTCTTGGAAGAGGTCGTTGGGCGTTTAAAAAGTTTAAACACCTTGTGCTTATTGTTCTAGACATTTCTCTTGTGCGCGGCAAACCGGTACCAACCGGTTTTCTCCCGCTGCTTTATTTTCATTCGGTTACCGGTTGACGGAAAGGGAAACAAAACTTTGAACGATCGGCGCGAGAAATTCCAAACACCCCGAGGAAGGTGGCAGCTGCCGGGCAGCTTCGCTTGCGTCTCCCCGTAGCCACGTGGTGCCCACCACCCCCCCGTATTGTTCACCCCCCCCCCCCCCCCCGTGTTCACCCCCCCGATCCTCAGCTTTCTGTGGGACTTTGGTGGTATTACGAAAAACAAAAAAAAACCCCGGCGACTTGTGAGTGTTTCCATGAGCATTTGCTATAGCTGTGAAGGAAAGTGTTTTGAACTTCAGGATTGTGCAATTCCATGACCGACTGTAGCTGTGTTTGCACTTCTCTTTGCGCATCGTTACGCCTCGTGACTCGGTAGCGGAAATAAAATAAGAATAAAGGACGCACTTCTGTTGCATGACCCCGGCGCCGCGTCTTTGACGGAGCGGGGCCCGGTGGCCGATCGGCGCACGCGGCCGCCGACGTGGAGCGACCCGGGTTCGATTCTGGGCTCGGGCTCGTGGCGATGATTAACTGGCCATGGGTGGGGGGGGGTCCCGGCCACACGCAGGATTCCCGCTTCTCCTGCGTCGTCTGTGGGAGTAGTTGAGCGCCTGCGGCCCGAGGCGCCGTGCCGTGCGTTGGGGAGCGAGGCCGGAGCGGAGCCGCGGCTGGGAAGACGGTGCCCCCTGCCCCCTAAAGCGCAACCGTGGAAGACGAGGACTGGCACACGGAGATGGCGTCTTTATTGGCGGTTTCCCATCGCGGTCGCCAAACGGCTCGTGGCGACGAGAGGCGATGACTAAACTCGGCATGGCACAAAAAAAAAACGGAACGTCTAGAAACGCCGATTCAGCAGCGACATTACGAATGGCCCTTTAGTGGAGGCAACCCCAGCTGCAGCGATTGAACCCAGTATCTCCGTGTACGTGACAAAGCCACTGTGGGTCCCGTGACCCCAGCCGACCTCTTTCGCACGAGACCACGCGTTTTTGTTGTCCCCCCTCCACCAAACCTCCGATGAGAACGGTTGGCGGCTGCGTACAGTGCAAAAGAAGTTCAACATACAACATGCATGTGGTGGGTAGCCGGGGCTAGAGGGGATCGGCCTCCTGGAACCTCTCCAGCATTCTCTGGCGTGCACACGGCCGACCCAGCAGCACCGCTGCGAGGTGAGTGCGGGGTCACCCCCCCCCCCCCCCCCACACAGAGCAGGGGGGTCCCCCCACGAGGTCAGGTGACCGGTGCCCTTGGACGCCCGTCCACCGCGTGCTCTGCGAGTGGCGGCCTTCCGCTCTAGTTTTTGGACATTCATGTAAAATATATGTATCGGTGGCGAGATGTTAACTACCTCGCCTGGGATACAGGAGGTTGTGGGTTTGATCCCGACCCTGATTCATGTGTATTTGGAGGTTGCATGTCTCTCTCTCTCCCCGTGGTCGTGTGGATTGTTCTTTGGGTCTTCCAGTTTTTCCCTCCACGTTTACAGTCAACATCACGTGTTCGGAGTCTTTGGCTGCTGCTCTACATTTCCACGTGATAAGCCACTTCGTTGAGCTATCATTTGTGGTCAGGTCGCTTCTGAGAAATGGCTATGTAGCTCATTGGGCCTTACCTGGTAAAATATTAAAAATTGTTTACAAAAAATAGACATTCAATTCGCTATACGTGATTTCACTTATCACAACGATGTCAGCTCTCTCCCCTCTAAAGGAAAAGGATATTTTCCACGCACGGCCTGTGGCCACACGGATTGCATGAGAAGCGTTACCCTGTGAGCTTTTGACGGAGCCGCCGCGTGCGACGTGCCCGCAGATAGATTTGTCCATCGCTGTTGTTAATAAATCGTTAAATCGGACGTCCGTACGGTAAAGCCGCCTCCGCCGCCACGGCACAGACGGCCAGGGGAGGGGGGGCGGGCTGACGAGCTCTGAGCATCAGGGCGGCGTTTACAAGCCTGGGAAGAGAAGCGGATTTTCAAAGCTGAGCTGTGCAAGGGCAGAAAGGGGGGGTGGAGGGGGAGGGAGGGGGAGGGAGGGAGGAGGAGGGAGAAGGGAGGGAGGAGGAGGGAGGGAGGAAGAGGGAGAAGGGAGGGAGGGAGGAGGAGGGAGGGATGGTGGGGGAGGGAGGGGGAACAATTTTGCCTGCAGCTTGGCCAGGAGACGGCAACATTGGAGGGAAGGGAGCGGCTGTAGCAACGGCCACACACCCACTCAACGGCCACACACCCACTCAACGGCCACGGCCATCGCGTTAGCGGAGAGACGAGCAGGCGACGGGCCGACGAGAGCGGCCGTTGTCAAAATGCGAATGAAGGTGGCCGATGGTCGTGGCCGATGGTCGTGGCCGCGGCGTTGGCCGCGATCGTCTTGGCAGCACGAGAGACGAGGAGGAGACGGGGGCAGACAGCCGGGGGGCCGTGGCAGCATCCGCCGGGCAGAGCCAGCTCCCTTCCGGACCGTTGGCCATTCCTGGTGTTAGTTGAAGCTGTAGTTTTCCGAGCACGAAGGCAGCACGGGTGCGGGCTGCTGCTTTGCGGTCTTTACGTCGAGCGCCGCGTCGGCTTTGCCCTTGCGCTGCTGCCTGCGTTGACCTGCCACGGAGACGCGCGGAGCGGCAGGTGAGCGGAACGCGCCAGGGCGAGGTGCAGCGTGAGATCACGCGGAGCGGCGATGGGCCCCGCCGGCAGGCTGCTGAGTTTACGGGACAATCGCGTGTTGTTAATTATTGGCTGTTGACGGGGGGTTGAGGGGGGGGCACCGCACCTGGCACGCGGATGCACTCGTGGCGGTGCCAGCCGGCCCACGCGGCCACGGTGCACGCGCGGCTGCAGTAGAGGACCTCGCGGCAGCGCGAGCACGGGGACAGGCGCACGCCCACGGCGCGGCCGCAGCCGTAGCAGAACCGCAGCAGGAAGCGCCTGGCCAGGGAGACGCTCGTTCACTTGATACAAAAACACGAATAGGTTTTACCCCCTTCTGGCAAAAACACCAAAATGGAAACCCATTCTCAAGACATCAAGTCTGCATTCACCACTTATGGCACCACATGCAAGTACGTGTGGTTCATGCAGAATTAGCAGAAAGGGTGACACCTATCGTTGTTTTTCATTACACTGGCAAAAAAGGTCCTGTACATATTCCTGTATTACTTATTCATTCACTAGCTGACTCATCACAGAACTGCAGTTGGAAGCGCCAAGGCAGGGAGACATTCACTCACTTTTACATTCACTCATTGATATTTTGCTTTCAGTCACCCATTCACGAATCCAAAAATCTGGAACAATCTCGAGTGTGTGTGTGTCGTGGGAGTGTGTGTGTCGTGGGAGTGTGTGTGTCGTGGGAGTGTGTGTGTGTATTGTGGGAGTGTGTGTATTGTGGGAGTGTGTGTGTGTGTATTGTGGGAGTGTGTGTGTGTGTCGTGGGAGTGTGTGTATTGTGGGAGTGTGTGTGTGTGTATTGTGGGAGTGTGTGTGTGTGTCGTGGGAGTGTGTGTATTGTGGGAGTGTGTGTATTGTGGGAGTGTGTGTGTGTGTATTGTGGGAGTGTGTGTGTGCTCGCGCGTTCACACCTCACGATTTTCTCTTCATTCGCCGCCGCGCTCCTCTCTTTGGTGCCCGCGCCCGCGCGGGTTTCTCGTCTGCGACCGTGAAGAGGGAGCGCGCGGTGAATGAGCGCGCAGTGAATGAGCGCGCGGTGAATGAGCGCGCGGTGAATGAGCGCGCGGTGAATGAGCGCGCGGTGAATGAGCGCGCGGTGAATCAGCGCGCGGTGATTCAGCGCGCGGGGGCCCGAGCGGCCGTCGCGTTCGCCGTTGTTCACACGCCAGTAGGGACCCACCGCGGTTGGCCCGGACGGATTTGAGCCGCGGAGAACAAAACCGTGAAACTAAAAAAAACAACTGAACTTATTTTTTTGTTTGACCAGGGAATGCCCCACCGAGTTGCTGCGTAGCTCAGTGGGGCCTGGGCCACCACAAATGGGAGCTCGACGAAGTGGGCTTAGATCTCGACTTGAAGCTCTCGCGACTGCAGGAATTCCATATTCTTGGGTCTTTCGGTAAAGTCACGTAGGTTTTTGTTATTTTCTTTGAACCTATCTACGTGACTTTAGCGATAGACCCAAGAATATGAAGTGGGACTTACCGTGTAAGCCCACTTCATATTAGCGCAGCCAAATGCTCTAAACGCGTGATGATGTTGTGGAGGGAAAAAACGGAGGACCCAGAATAAAATCCACGTGACCACGGGGAGACAGAGACACACGCAAACTCCAAATATCCAGGTGTCAGTCGGGATCAAACCCATAACAGCCTGTATACCAGGCGAGGTAGTTAACATCTCCCAGCCACAGTGATGATGATGATGAGAGAGAGAGAGACGCAAACTCCAAACATACAGCAGGCGTCAGCGTCCGAATCGAACCCACGACCTGCTGCACACCAGGCGAGGGAGTGAACATCTCCCGGCCACCGTGACGCACGAAGGCGACGTGTGAGCGAGCGTCGCCACCTCGTCGTTACCTCCGTGGGGAGTGCGGCGAGGAGGAGCGCCGTGCCGAGCCAGGGGACGGCCCGGAGGCCGTGGGGACGGTCGCGCCCGCGCCGGTGTAGACGAAGCTCTTGCTGGGCCCCACCGCTGCGGAGATGCACAAGCAAAGCCCCCCGTGTAGCCTTCACCTGGCCGTCGGGGCAAGTGCTGAGGGCGGGCGGCGCCTACGAGAGCCGCCTACGAGAGCCGCCTACGAGCGGTTTCGGAAGCCACTGGGAGCTCTGCACTTTTAAAGCGCCCAGATCGTCAACGCAAATTTTATTTTTGTGTTTTAATTGCCCTTCCCCCGCACCTCCGATTATCACGGTTGGCCATGTAAGGTGCGAAAGAAGTTCAATGTACGTGCGCACGCACGAGGGAGCCGGGTGGCGAGCAACCGCGCGCGAACGCCTTTGCCCAGTGGCGATGTTTACGCAGCGCAGCGCACCAGATTCTTGATTGAGGCTTTGCCGGGTTACGCAGCGCGGGGATAAGAAGAGACGTCTCGGCGGGAATCTTTTTTGCCAATCTCCAAATGATGATAAAAATAAGAATAGGCCTCTACCCCTTTCTGCCAATAAAACAGGAGGTGTTTAAGATGTTCAATCACCAAATAGACACACACCTATTCCAAGGCATCAAGTCCGCATTCACCACGTAGTTGTGGCACCAATAACACAAGTCTGGCTGTCGCCTGATGAAGCTGGTTGTAATTACTGGTGAAACTTCGTTCTCAGATTGTAAATGTTGTGGCATGGCTCTCCAACACACCGGTTAGTGCTGTACTAGTGACGAATTGGCACGTTCTGTTTACGTGACAACCCTCACTAGTTGGCTGTGTCGGGTGTGGGCAGGTTTAACGACGCATTTATATATTTATGTGATCTAACCCAACAAAACCTGTATCATGGAAAACATGCTCTGATAATAGTAATAATAGACTTTCATTGTCTTTGAAACTGATTGGCCTACACCAGAGACAGCAGCCTCCTTCTTCATGGCCCTGTCTCACAACCGGCGTTAGACGGAGGACAACGCCAAACAAGCGACCAGCGCAAGGGCAATGCAACGACCGGCGCGTGAGCAGCTGGGATTGAGCGGCGAGCGGCTTACTGACGACCCCTCGCTCCGCCAAGGCCTCGAGGCGCCGGCGCTGGCGGGCGACGGCGGCGCGGCGCAGAGCGGCGCCCAGGTGGGCGAGCACGGCGCGGCGCGCGGTGAACGCCGCCCGCTCGCTCGGGGAGAGCGCGTGGTACGGGGCGTGGGCGACGCGCCGGTCCTGCGAGTCGCAGAGTCGCACCACGGGCGCACGCGCCGGTACACACACCAACACACGGGCCAACGCATTCACCAACGCACTCACGTACACACCAACGCACTCACGTAAACACCAACACCTATCAATGCACTCACCAACGCACTTATAAACGCACTCACCAATGCACTCGCAAGCAAAGCAGGCATGCACGCGCGGGAGATTGTTCTTGTGGTGATCATCGTCACGATCGTTGCAATGATCGCGACGATAAATCTTGAAATGTTTGTGAACGTTGTCAAGTTAACTAGCGCCGTGTCTCGTCACGTGCCGGAGCAGCCGCTTGGACCTCCCGAGTGACCGGGCTGAGCGAACGACGAACGAGAGCTGGCTCACCGACCTCCGGCGTGGCGAGCCTGGTGAATGCGGTGAGCGCGGTGAGTGTGGTGACCGTGGTGAGCCTGGTGAGCACGGTGAGTGTGGTGAGTGCGGTGAGTGTGGTGACCATGGTGAGCCTGGTGAGCGTGGCGAGCCTGGTGAATGCGGTGAGCGTGGTGAGCCTGGTGAGTGTGGTGACCGTGGTCAGCCTGGTGAGCGTGGTGACTGCGGCGAGCCTGGTGAGTGCGGTGAGCGTGGTGACCGTGGCGAGTGTGGTGAGCGTGGTGAGCGCGGTGAGCGCGGTGAGCGAGGTGAGCGCGGTGAGCCTGGTGAGCCTGGTGAGCCTGGTGAGTGTGGTGAGTGTGGTGAGGGTGGTGAGCCTGGTGAGCCTGGTGAGCCTGGTGAGCGTGGTGAGCGTGGCGAGTGTGGTGAGCCTGGTGAGCGTGGTGAGCCTGGTGAGTGTGGTGAGCGCGGTGAGCACGGTGAGCGAGGTGAGCAAGGTGACTGTGGTGAGTGTGGTGAGTGTGGTGAGCGTGGTGAGTGTGGTGGTGAGCGTTGTGAGTGTGGTGACCGTGGTGAGCGTGGTGAGCATGGTGAGTGTGGTGAGCGTGGTGAGCGTGGTGAGCGTGGTGAGTGCGGTGAGCGTGGTGAGTGTGGTGAGCGTGGTGAGTGTGGTGAGCGTGGTGAGTGTGGTGAGCGTGGTGAGTGCGGTGAGCGTGGTGAGCGTGGTGAGCGCGGTGAGCGCGGTGAGTGCGGTGAGCGTGGTGAGCGTGGTGAGCGCGGTGAGCGTGGTGAGTGCGGTGAGCGTGGTGAGTGCGGTGAGCGTGGTGAGTGCGGTGAGCGTCGTGAGCACGGTGAGTGCGGTGAGCCTGGTGAGCGTGGTGAGTGTGGTGAGCGCGGTGAGCGTGGTGAGTGCGGTGAGCGTGGTGAGTGTGGTGAGTGTGGTGAGTGTGGTGAGCGTGGTGAGTGTGGTGAGCGTGGTGAGTGTGGTGAGCGTGGTGAGTGCGGTGAGCCTGGTGAGCGTGGTGAGTGTGGTGAGTGTGGTGAGTGTGGTGAGCGTGGTGAGCGTGGTGAGCGCGGTGAGCGTGGTGAGTGCGGTGAGCGTGGTGAGTGTGGTGAGCGTGGTGAGTGTGGTGAGCGTGGTGAGTGTGGTGAGCGTGGTGAGTGTGGTGAGCGCGGTTAGTGTGGTGAGCGTGGTGAGTGTGGTGAGCGTGGTGAGTGTGGTGAGTGCGGTGAGCGTGGTGAGTGTGGTGAGCGTGGTGAGTGTGGTGAGCGTGGTGAGTGTGGTGAGTGTGGTGAGCGTGGTGAGCGTGGTGAGTGTGGTGAGCCTGGTGAGCGTGGTGAGCGTGGTGAGTGTGGTGAGCGTGGTGAGCGTGGTGAGTGTGGTGAGCCTGGTGAGCGTGGTGAGCGTGGTGAGTGTGGTGAGCGCGGTGAGTGAGGTGAGTGTGGTGAGCGTGGTGAGTGTGGTGAGTGTAGTGAGCGTGGTGAGTGTGGTGAGCGTGGTGAGTGTGGTGAGCGTGGTGAGCGTGGTGAGTGCGGTGAGCGTGGTGCGTGTGGTGAGTGTGGTGAGCGTGGTGAGCGTGGTGAGCGTGGTGAGTGTGGTGAGCGTGGTGAGTGTGGTGAGCGCGGTGAGTGCGGTGAGCCTGGTGAGCGTGGTGAGTGTGGTGAGTGTGGTGAGCGTGGTGAGCGTGGTGAGCGTGGTGAGCGCGGTGAGCGTGGTGAGCGTGGTGAGCGTGGTGAGCGTGGTGAGCGTGGTGAGCGTGGTGAGCGTGGTGAGCGCGGTGAGTGCGGTGAGCGTGGTGAGCGTGGTGAGCGCGGTGAGTGCGGTGAGTGCGGTGAGTGTGGTGAGTGTGGTGAGTGTGGTGAGCGTGGTGAGCGTGGTGAGCGTGGTGAGCGCGGTGAGCGCGGTGAGTGCGGTGAGCGTGGTGAGCGTGGTGAGCGCGGTGAGTGCGGTGAGCCTGGTGAGCGTGGTGAGCGTGGTGAGCGTGGTGAGCGTGGTGAGTGTGGTGAGCGCGGTGAGTGTGGTGAGCCTGGTGAGCGTGGTGAGCGTGGTGAGCGTGGTGAGTGTGGTGAGCGCGGTGAGTGCGGTGAGCCTGGTGAGCGTGGTGAGCGTGGTGAGCGTGGTGAGTGTGGTGAGCGTGGTGAGTGTGGTGAGCGTGGTGAGTGCGGTGAGCCTGGTGAGTGTGGTGAGCGTGGTGAGTGTGGTGAGCGTGGTGAGCGTGGCGAGTGCGGTGAGCGCGGTGAGTGCGGTGACCATGGTGAGCGTGGTGAGCGTGGTGAACGTGGTGAGCGTGGTGAGCGTGGTGAGCGTGGTGAGCGCGGTGAGCGTGGTGAGTGTGGTGAGTGTGGTGAGTGTGGTGAGCGTGGTGAGTGTGGTGAGCGCGGTGAGCGCGGTGAGTGCGGTGACCATGGTGAGCGTGGTGAGCGTGGTGAACGTGGTGAGCGTGGTGAGCGTGGTGAGTGTGGTGAGCGCGGTGAGTGCGGTGAGTGCGGTGACCATGGTGACCGTGGTGAACGTGGTGAGCGTGGTGAGTGTGGTGAGCGCGGTGAGCGCGGTGAGTGCGGTGACCATGGTGACCGTGGTGAACGTGGTGAGCGTGGTGAGCGTGGTGAGCGTGGTGAACGTGGTGAGCGCGGTGACCGTGGTGAGCGTGGTGAGCCTGGTGAGCTTGGTGAGCGTGGTGAGTGTGGTGAGTGCGGTGAGCGTGGTGACCGTGGTGAGTGTGGTGAGTGTGGTAAGCGTGGTGAGCGTGGTGAGTGTGTTGAGCGTGGTGAGTGTGGTGAGTGCGGTGAGCGCGGTGACCGTGGTGAGTGTGGTGAGCGTGGTGAGTGTGGTCAGTGTGGTGAGTGTGGTGAGTGTGGTGAGCGTGGTGAGTGTGGTGAGCGTGGTGAGCGTGGTGAGTGTGGTGAGCGTGGCGAGCGTGGTGAGTGTGGTGAGTGTGGTGAGCGTGGTGAGCGCGGTGAGTGTGGTGAGCCTGGCGAGCGTGGTGAGTGAGCGTGGTGAGTGTGGTGAGTGTGGTGAGCGTGGTGAGCGTGGTGCGCGTGGTGAGCGTGGTGAGCGTGGTGAGCGTGGTGAGTGTGGTGAGCCTGGTGAGCGTGGTGAGCGCGGTGAGTGTGGTGAGTGTGGTGAGCGTGGTGAGCCTGGCGAGTGTGGTGAGCCTGGCGAGCGTGGTGAGTGTGGTGAGCCTGGTGAGTGTGGTGAGCGTGGTGAGCGCGGTGAGTGTGGTGAGCGTGGTGAGCGCACCTGGTTGAAGTGCATGAAGGCGAAGTCGACGACGGTGCCGACCGCCAGCCTGGCGCCATCGCGCACGCGGACGGGCGACAGGACGCTGGCGCCGGCCGCGATGAGCCGGTCGATCTGCACGGAACACGGCCGAGCGCCAGCTACGGTAGAAGCCCTCTTAGCACGAAACCGGTCGTTCAGTGATTTGGTCGTTAAGCGAGTGTAGGGAATGCACGATAAAGGCTTAAATCGTTCCAATGGCATCGAAAGTTAACCCCTTTTCACCGCAAAAGACGTACTTTATAATATTTAAACAATGAATATCAATAAATAAAGATACTAACAACATAATGAACGCATATTATTACAAGAAACGTGGTTAATCAATGCATAATGTAATATTTACTGTACCTATAACAACCCGCCTAACAGGGGAACGGTTGGTAAGCGAACACATTGGGCTCTATAGAGACACTACACTACTATACGCTACACTACTATACACTATACACTACACTACTATACACTACACTACTATACACTATACACTACACTACTATACACTACACTACTATACACTATACACTACACTACTACACACTACATTACTATACACTACACTGCTATACACTGCACTATACAATATACTACTATACACTACACTACTACACACTACACTATACACTACATTACTATACACTACACTGCTATACACTGCACTATACAATATACTACTATACACTACACTACTACACACTACACTATACACTACACTACTATACACTACACTATACACTACACTACTATACACTACACACTACATTACTATACACTACACTGCTATACACTGCACTATACAATATACTACTATACACTACACTACTACACACTACACTATACACTACACTACTATACACTGCACTATACAATACACTACTATACACTATACTGCTATACACTATACACTACTATACACTATACACTACACTACTATACACTCACTATACACTACACACTACATTACTATACACTACACTGCTATACACTGCACTATACAATACACTACTACACACTACACTATACACTACACTACTATACACTGCACTATACACTACACTACTATACACTATACACTACACTGCTATACACAAGGGCGCGCTGAGGTCGTGGCTCAGAACGCCGCGGCAGTCGGAATTTTTACTTCGGCTGCAGGAATCCAGGAAGGCGGCCAGAACCGGCGCTACCAACAATTTCCCAAGCTCTGCGGTTCTACATTGGGATGTTTGGCCTGACTGTGACCGGAGAAAACCCACAGGCCGCAAGGGAAGCAAGAGGGAGGGGGGTGACTGCTCGATCCCCGTACGGATCGAACCCACTTGCTGCACTGCCGTGCCCGGGGCAAGCCAGGGGGTGGCGGCCACGACGCCCGCCCTCGGGCTAGAGAGCGTCGCCAGCTTGTGCCATCGGCTGCACTCCGAGCGCCTGGGATGTGGCCTCGTCTCGCAAGGCCAACGGGGGTCGATGCTCGGGTTCGCTCAGCGGTGACCGCGTGACAGGTTGCCGGCGCGTAACCGTGTCACGGGGCTACCGGTAACGCAGAGCGAGCGGTGGCAGCTACCGCCGTGGATCCGGGACGGCGCCCGGACGGGCGTGCGAGCGCCGGGCCCGACCGGGCAGGCTCCCAGGGCAGCGACGCCCCCGTCGGGGCAGCGACGCCTCCAGGTGCGGCGGGCGTAACGCGAGCGTCTCGACGGCCGTGCGGGTCTCTCACGAGCGCGAGGAGCGACGCCGCCTCGAGGCCCCCGTGGGAGTAGCCGGGGTTGGCGGCGGCGCAGAGCGCGTTGCCGACGCCGCGCGGCAGCGCGAGGTCCGGGTCGGCGCCGGCGCTCAGCAGCTCCTCCACCGCCTGCGCCCGCCGGCACAGAGACAAAGCTCGAGCCCGCCGCCCGCGCGGCGTCCGCGGGGCGAGCGCCGCCAGGCCGGCACCGACGAGGGTTGGCGAGCCGCGGGGGGAACTCACCGGGAGGTTCCCGCAGGCGACCGCCAGGGACAGCGGCGAGTGGCCGGCCCACAGCGGGTCCACGCTGGCGCCGTGACGCAGCAGCAGGCGCACCACGGCCTGCACGCACTGCACACCCGCGGCGGCGCCATCGTCACCATCTCACGGACACCAAAGACGAAGAGCCCCAGTACAGCTTCAACAGACTGTTGGGCAAGTGCTGTTGGCGAGCACCTATGAATGGTATGGCACACGAGGAGGTGGGTAGCCAGCACCACGCCCGGCCGCCTTTGTCTCCCCGGTGGTGATGTTTACACCACCGCACCAGGTACTCATTTGAGGCCGAGTCGACCTCGGGGAGACCCATGGACCGGTTCAGAAAATCTTCACTGGTGTTGGGTGTGAGCGGGAATCAAACTCGGGTCGCCGCTACACTAAACGCACACACACACACACACACGCACACACCCACTCACACACACACCCACTCTCACACAAACTCAGATTCACCACGCCCACTCACACACACACCCACTCACACACACGTGCACACACACTCACACACACGTGCACTCACACACACACGTGCACACGCACACGTGCACACACACGCACACGTGCACACACACTGCACACACACTCGCACTCACACACACACGTGCACTGACACTCACACACACGTGCACACACACTCACACACACACGTGCACACATACACCCACTCACACACACACGCACTCACACACACACGTGCACACACACTCGCACACACCCACTCACACACACTCGCACTCACACACACACGTGCACTGACACTCACACACACGTGCGCTTACACACTCACACACACGTTGACTTGACACTGACATTCACACGCTCAGCGCACCTGCGGGTTGTCGGAGCGCTGGCAAGCCACGTGCAGGGCTGTGAGTCCCCCCGCTGCAGCGGGCTGCTGGGGGCGGCCGTGGAGCTGGGCAGGGACCCCTGCCTGGGCAGCGTCGCTCCTCGCCATGCCACACACCGCGTGGTCCGCACCCTGCGCACGGCGCCGCCACGCGGGCACGCGTGGGCGAGTGGGTGAATGGGTGAATGGGCGAGTGGGTGAGTGGGCGAGTGGGTGAGTGGGCGAGGGGGTGAATGGGCGAGTGGGCGAGTGGATGAGTGGGTGAGTGGGTGAATGGGCGAGTGGGCGAGTGGATGAGTGGGTGAATCGGCGAGTGGGTGAGTGGGCGAGTGGGTGAATGGGCGAGTGGGTGAATCGGCGAGTGGGTGAGTGGGTGAATGGGCGAGTGGGTGAATGGACGAGTGGGTGAATGGACGAGTGGATGAGTGGGTGAATGGACGAGTGGGTGAGTGGGTGAATGGGCGAGTGGGTGAATGGGCGAGTGGGTGAGTGGGTGAATCGGCGAGTGGGTGAGTGGGTGAATGGGCGAGTGGTTGAATGGGCGAGTGGGTGGATGGGCGAGTGGGCGAGTGGATGAGTGGGTGAATGGGCGAGTGGGCGAGTTGATGATGGGTGAGTGGGGGAGTGCATGAGTGTGTGAGTGGGCGAGTGTGTGAGTGGGTGAGTGGATGAGTGGGCGAGTGGATGAATGGGTCAATGAGCAAGTGGGTGAATTGGCAAGTGGGCGAGCGGGTGGATGGATGAATGGGTGAGTGGGTGAATTGGTGAGTGAATGGGTGAGTTGGCATGTGGACGTGTGGGCGAGTGGGTGAATTGGTGGGTGAATTGGTGAGTGAATGGGTGAGTGAATGGGTGAGTGGGTGAATTGGTGAGTGAATGGGTGAGTTGGCATGTGGGCGAGTGGGTGAATTGGTGAGTGAATGGGTGAGTGAATGGGTGAGTGAACGAATGAGGAGAGAGGAGTCTCATTTGCAAGCGTGATCTGGGTAAACAACAAGAGTTAAGACAATGACAACAGACAAGCACGTGGTGTGGGGATCGGCGGCACTGCCCTGCTGGCGCCACGGCGCCAGCTCGAACCCAGGCCCCTGACCTGGTCGGGAGGGAAGAAGGAGGCCTCCGTGTGGGGCGCACGCACGTCCGGGTCGGCCGCCGCGTGCAGCAGCAGAGAGACCATCTTGACCCCGCGCGGCCCCGGCGTGCCAGCGGCCACCAGCAGGGCGGGGACACCTCCCATCTGCACCCGCGTCGCCATCGCTCACAACATCATCATCATCATCGTCGTCACGGTGACGCTCACAACATCATCATCATCGTCGTCACGGTGACGCTCACCACCAACGTCGTCGTCGTCACGGCGACGCTCACCACCAACGTCGTCGTCGTCACGGCGACACTCACCCCTAACGTCGTCGTCGTCACGGTGACGCTCACCACCGACGTCGTCGTCGAGCCACGAAAACCCAGACACGGCTGGCAACGGATAAAACAACGCTCTCTCCGCGTCGGTGTCACCGGGGGGTGCTGCGTGGGCGACGCGGCTACCTCGGGTGGCAGGCGCTGGTCAGGCGGCGCCCCACGCTCCAGCAGCAGGCGCAGGGCGCGGGCGTCCCCGGCGCTCACCGCTAGCAGGAGGCACGGCGCGCGGTCCCCGCCGCCCGCGCCGGGGTCGGCGCCGCGCTCCAGCAGCAGCAGCGCCGTGGCCCAGAGGCGGCGCCGCCTGCACGGGGGAGAGAGGCGGGGGGGAGCGAGCCACGGGTGAGCAGGTGGGTGAGTCGGTGAATGAGTGGGTGAGTGGACGAATGAGTGGATGAATGCGTGGGTGAATGAGTGGGTGAGTGGATGAATGAGTGGGCGAGTGTGTAGATGGGTGGGTTACTGAGTGGGTGAGTGCCCCCCCTGCCCCCCCCTACTTCCCCCCTGCTGCCCACCGCTCTCCGCTTCTCGACTCTCGAGTTGGGTCGCCTGTGCGCACGCTACCCGCGCACACCATGACCGGGAGGTCTGATCTTCAACCTTCCACAAATCACCTCCTGTGCGGATCGTCATCACCACCGTCGTCCCCACCACCCTGAGCATCATCGTCGTCGTCGTCACCACTCGTATAGATCTTCAGCTTGCCGCACTCTTTTCTCTGGCGACTGTCTTGTCGTCTCCGCCGTCATCGTCCAGAGAGACTGAGAGACTCGTCTGCGACACTCACTTGTGTTTGAGGGTGGCCAGCTTCCTTGCCCTTCCTTCGCCCTCCTCCTCCTCCTCGTCTGCTCCTCCTCCATCGCTGCAGCAGCCGCCGCCACCGCCGCGATTCTCACCACCGCGCCCACCGCCGCCGCCGCCGTTTTCGCCGTCGCCGTCACGAGCCGCCCCCTCGTCACGGCGGAGCCTGCTCAGGGCCTCGGCACTCAGCTCCAGTTCCTTGTCGGAGACGGCGATGGCGAACGCGCGCAGCGTAGCGGTGGAGCGGAACTCGGAGCTCGTAGAACGTCCCTCCTCCTCCTCCTCCTCGCTGCGTGCGCCCGAGGGCCCGCGACCGGTCCATCCCGAGCGCTCGGGGTCAAGCGGTCGTCCCTCCGCCGACGGGGCCATCGCCGTGGCCTTGCCTGGCCCGCGCTCGGGTGGGGACGGCGAGTGGCGCGCGTTTAGGTGGCGCGCGGCGCGCGGAGGAGCGAGCGGCGAGACCGGGAGGCCATGGAGCAGCGGTGGGCTGGGTAATGAGTTCGGCGGGTGTGGGGTAGCAGAGGAAACCATGAGGGAGATGGACCGACGGCGTGTGAGAGTGGCCGGAGCGATGAGTGATAGTCGACGAATTAATGAATGTTTACACGTGGAAGGAAACCAGAGAAAAGCCACGCGTGCGAGGGGGAAACACTCTATCCCACACAGATTAAATATCGCAGCTCCACACGCTGACGTCACATTTCTTTAAATGACCAATCACATCCCAGCTCCACACTCGGGCGTGGCGTTGCGTATTTTTTAACGACCAATCACATCCCAGCTCCACACGCGGCACCGTGTGCGTGCTTCTTTACCGACGCAGCAGTTGGCCGATGGCAGCGGCCGCTGCGGCCACGTCGTGGCGGCTCCTCGCACAACGCCGACGCGCGGTCCCTCACGTCGACGCCGCTGTCCGACGGGGATACCCGGGTGGGGTGCCACCGGCGGCCGCTCTCGGTTGGGGGGGTCCCGTCCCACCGAGACACCGCGGCACCTTCGGCCTCCGGCGTCTCCGGGCGACCGCCGATTGCTCCCTGGGCCGGTGGCTCCTGGAAAGACACCGCGGGGACGCGGGCGGTGACGTCCCGGCGGCGTACCAACGCGGAGCTGAGTCAAACCCATCTCTGAGCGCTGTGCGGTTGTTATTATTTTTGTGGTTGTTGTTTTTGCCCCTACAGGGCTGACCCGTACCTATTGGCTAACCCATCCCTACAGGGCTGACCCGCCTCTACTGGACATCTGTGAAAGAGCGCTTCATAGCTCATCGGATTCTTCCAGTCCAAATTAAGATTCTGAATAACAAAATAAATTCAAAGTAGCTACGTGGGTCTCTTTGGGTCTCTATGTAACCTGCACACTCAATAGTCATGCAACTGGATGGATGTGTAGTGACAAAGAATCGATCACTTAGCAGCATAGCGCTTATTGCTGGCAGGGAAGGGGATCTGCAGCTGCAGCAGCCCTGACTGTCACGTGATAGACCAGACAGAGGGATGTAGAGGAAAGGTTACAGGAGGGGCACGTGAGGGAAGCCCGGGAACCCGCTAGTAGGTTCTAGAAAGGGGGCGTGGCCGGGGCGGAGCGAGGCCACGCCGGGAGGATAAAAGTGGACCCTGGGCGGGATCTCGGGGCTGTCGCTTGGAGTGGGATCCCCTCGTCGTGCTGCTGGAGTCTCCGTCTGCGTCTTCACCTGCTCGGCGTCGTCAGCCAGGCAGCCTGCCAGCTGTGTCCTGACTGGGAGCCGTAGTCACTCTGTGTGGACTGTGAAGGCTGTTAATAAATAGAGTGCCTCCTACTCTCAGTGTCTCTGAGTCAGTCACTACAGATGTATTTATTTAGCTAATTCAGTGCTGCCACTCACAAACACAAAGATCACCTGTACATCCTGAACAGACTGTTGGGGCAAGTGCTGTTAGCGAGCACCTGTTAAGGTCAAAACAGCACACAAGGGCATGGGCGGCCAGCACCATGCCCAGCAGCCTTTGTCTCTCGAGTGGCGGTGTTTACACACTGCACTAGGTGCTTATTTGAGGCTGAGTCGACCTAGGGGAGGCCCAGGACCGGTTCAGATAATTGTCATTGGTGTTGGCCGTGAGCAGGAACTGGACTCGGGTCTCCTGGTTCGTAGCGCTACACACACACACACGCGAGTCTCCTACCTGTGCATAGTACAGCATGAGGCAAGCGAGCAGAGGAGAAATTCCATCGTCCGTCAACGCGTTCACATCGGCGCCCCAGTCCAGCAGCAGGTGAATTGTGTCTTCCTGGCAATTCACCTGCACACGGGGGCAGCACCGCATCAGCACAACGGCACGCCACACGCACCTGAAGCGCGACAGCTGCGGTCATTCACCACGGCGCTTGTACGTACCAAGCTAGGTCCACTAAAAGGCCATCGCGGGAAGTGTCCAAGCAAGGCTCGCTGGCAGGAGGTCACGGCACCCAAGGTGCTATCGGGTTGCCTGCTGTGCCAGGCTAGGTGCAGGAGGAGGTTATGGCACAAACCCAGGTGTTATCATTTAACTCACTGAGATGACTGGCAGATGCACCCACTTTGCCCCCTGTTGTGCCACCTTGCTACGTTTTATCTGCCGGCCCTCCGCTCGTATCTATGTATCCATGTTGAACTTCTTTCGCACAGTAAGTAGTCAACCGTGCCATTCGGAGGTGCATCGCTCCTCCGCCCTCCGTTGTTGCTGGAGGATGACTGCCTCCGACTCCCCAGTAGCGTCCTTCACGAACCTCCTCCACAGCGGCCGACTCTGAACGTCATCGGCACATCCACTCAGCTCCACATCCTCCCGCACCACATTATCCCATCGCCAATATGACTCTGTTCAAGCGATTGCTGAGGCGTGGGGACCCGGCTTTTGAGATTCTGCATGCAACCAAGTTGGTGGACCCTGCGTCAGCGACTCGTTTGCGTGGAACCGATTGCTCAAGTGCGGTGACGAGGCTTTTAGCGGTTAAGTTGCGCACAACTGAGTCGCACGCAACCGAGTTGCACGCAACCAATCGCCCAGCTGCGGCGCGGCCCTCTCACCGCAGCGGCGTGCAGCGCGGTGCGGCCGCGTGCGTCCGCGACGTCGGGGTGGGTGAGCGGCGGGCCGAGGGCTCGGACGCCGTCGCCCCTGGCGGCCGCCGCCAGCAGGCGCTCCGAGGCCTCCTCCAGGGGGCCCCGTGGGCCGAACCCCACGCGGCGGCCCTCCAAGATGTCGCGCGCACGGCAATCGAGCGCGCAGCGCTCCTCCCTGCGGCGACAGAGCTCGGCGTCGTCACCGTCGCCGCCGCGGTCTATCCACTGCTGGATGAAGGCCGCCACCTCTCACGATGCAACAATTAGCATGATTTATTATTGATCCGCGTGTTCACCCAGGAGAACCTCACCGAGTCTCATGACTCCTTTTCAGGAGGGTCCTGCCAGCTGTTCACAGCAGGGGGCGATGCCGCCGCCGCTGCTGCCGTGTGATCCAAACCGAGTGATTTCCAGCGTCGGGATGTAATTTTGACCCCAATGCCACTCGCACTGCGGGGGTTGTTTTAGCTATGAGTGGAAAGTGGCGAGCCTGGAGAAAACCCCGTGCAGAGTAGCGGTGGGTAGGTAGGTGGGTGGGGAGAAAAACGTAGAAACTCCGTACGGCAAGGAATCCGATTCACACGAACCGATTCAACGGCTTCCGGGCTCCGCCGTTCCCCCCAGCCCAGCTGCCACCGTGGGCGGGCGGGCGGGGGGGTGGGGGGTGTGGGGGGTGGGGGGGGGGTGGGTGGTGGGGGGGGTGGGGGCGGCAGGAGGGACGCTCGCGTGCGTGCGTGTTACCCGTGTGCCCGTGCGTGCGTCCTCAGCCACGCCCGGACCGGGAGGTGGCGGTCCCGCCAGCAGCTGCCCGCGTGGAGCCCGGCCGCCTCCCGAGCTGCGGCGACAGGGGGGGGGGGGGGATCCGACCGGCAGTTGATCCACTGGGGTGGGGGGGGGGTCGCGGGTCGCGGGTCAGACGTGCGGACGACGCGACGTCGCGCGTCCGCCCCCGACAGGTGAACCGCCCGCTGAGCCAGTGCGATGCGGCGTTCGTTTTGATTCGCGTGCGTTCGTTCGGGGAGCTCGGCGGGGCAATTATGTCGCGTGCGATGGCGTTTGCGCTTTTTACGTTTGTCCAGTAATAGATTTTGGGTGATTCGCGATCTTTCGTAGAGGTTGCCCACGCATCTGTCTCGACCACAGTGCCCAGCGCGTGGGGTCTGCCGCATTGCATCGTGGTTATTTCTCGACAGCAACGACCACGCTCTCAAGTCTACCGATTTCTGGGGCCCAAAAACGGAAGAATGTACACGCGTTATATACGTAATATTATGTACATACATAATGTATGTTGATTAACTGTGAATAACCCAACCAATAATCCATTGTAATTTATCTGGATACATTCACCTCCACCTCTATTAAAGACCGAAACAGGAGGATTTATCCACAACTCTGTCTGTAGCCTGATGATGCTGCTTGTAATTGCTGGCGAAATGTCACGGTACTCGAATGGTAAATGTTGTTGTGGGTCTACTCGCCAACACACAACCGGTGAGTGCTGAACTAGCCACTAATTGGCACGTTTTGACACAAACTTGCTAATTGGCTGTGTCAGGTGGTGGCGGGTTTAACGACACATTTATATTCACGCGATCTCACCCAACAAAAACCTCTATTGTGGAGGTCTACCTCATTGGTGTCCTCAGCTCGGTCACCAACGACCACACAACAACAACACCGCCACATATCAATTTCATTCTGCACTTAACGTCATCTAAATTCCAGCTCTGGGAATTGAAGCGTCGGGTGTGAGCGTCACGCGACGAGCCACGCTCTCGCACGCGCCGGGCGAGTGAGGGGCAGTGCTGACCACTGCTACCGCACGCGGGCCAGAGGTCGCTTGAAGAAGAAGAATGAGCAGAAGGAGGATTAGAAGGAGGAGGGGAATGAAAAGCAGCAGGAGGAGAAGAAGGAGGAGAAGGAGGAGGCATCTCGGACGTAGCTCTGCGATACCCACTTCTGCAGGTCCTTCTCTAAGCACGCGTGCAGGGTCGCACCACCCCCCGTGCGAGATTTCCGAAGGGATTCTTTGTGTGGTGGCGTCGTCGCGACTCCGACGCGAGCCAAATCGTGACCGTATTGGGCAACAGAAACGCCGAAACACCGTGCAAAGGAGAAGTCTACGAGTGAGTTGTTATTTTTATTTCAGCAGGCAAGGCCACACGGAGCTGCTGTGCAGCTCTATCTCAGAAGCGACCCGGCCATCACAAATGATATCTCAACGAAGCGGCTGATCATCATCATCATCACGTGGACATGTATAGCAACAGCCAAATACTGTGAACCGCATGATGCCGATTCTAAATGTGGAGGGAAAAACCTGGAGGACCTGGAGAAAAATCCACGTGACCCCAGGGTCGGGATCGAACCCACGACCTCCTGCATACCAGGTGAGGGAGTCAACATCTCCTAGCCACAGTGATGATGTTGATGAGAGAGAGAGACACGCAGACTCCAAATATACAGCAGGCGTCAGGGTCGGGATCGAACCCACGACCTCCTGTATACCAGGTGAGGGAGTCAACATCTCTTAGCCACAGTGATGATGTTGATGAGAGAGAGAGACACGCAGACTCCAAATATACAGCAGGCGTCAGGGTCGGGATCGAACCCACGACCTCCTGTATACCAGGTGAGGGAGTCAACATCTCTTAGCCACAGTGATGATGTTGATGAGAGAGAGAGACACGCAGACTCCAAATATACAGCAGGCGTCAGGGTCGGGATCGAACCCACGACCTCCTGCATACCAGGTGAGGGAGTCAACATCTCCTAGCCACAGTGATGATGTTGATGAGAGAGAGACACGCAGACTCCAAATATACAGCAGGCGCCAGGGTCGGGATCGAACCCACGACCTCCTGTATACCAGGTGAGGGAATCAACATCTCCTCGCCACCGTGGTGGCGAGGAGATGTTGAGTCGGAAGTGGAAGACGCCCGTTCGCACCTTTGAAGAACGGCGCGTCACACGCGGCGAGGTAGCTGGCGGTGAGCGGCAGGTGCTGCGCGTCGGTGGAGTAGCGCTCCATGCCGGGCGGCAGCACCACGCCGTCGTGCAGCGCCAGCTCCTGGAAGCGGTAGCCCAGCGGTTCGCTCTGCACCTGCGCGGGTGACGAAACACAAAAGGGGTCCCCCCCCGTAGTAGCCTCGGCAGACCGCCGGGGCGAGCGCCGTTAGTGAGCGGCACCTGCGAAGGCCCGCCTTTGTCTCTCCAGCGCAGATGTTTGCACACCGCACCAGGTACTCATTCGAGGCTAAGTCGACCTAGGGGAGGCCCAGGACCGGTTCAACGGTGTTGGTGACCGTGAGCGGGAATCGAACCGGGTTGCCGGGTTCGTGGTGCAGCGCGCTGACCGTTACGCCACCACACCCCACCACCACCATCAGGAGAGGTGGTGGTGGCACACACGCGCAAGCCGGCGGTTTGGATTTGGGGTTGATGGATCACGCAGAGATCACTGTGTGCCGCACAACTCCCAGCCCACAGACGTCTGTGGCCGACACGTAAACAGTTCGTCACACGCACCATGTGTTGCATTGTCATGAGCGTAGCAACAGATTTTGGGAGCTGCCAAACATCCCAATTATAGGATCACAGAGCTTGGGCAGTTGCTGACAGTGCAGGTTTCCGGCGGTATTCTGTTTTCCCGTGCCTCCACGCGGAAACTGGACAGCGTTCCCAGATGCGTTTTTTTGCGTGAACGCCGCTGCGCCTTAACGTATAATTTCGTGTAACGCGCTTATACTTACACGGCTGCAGGGTGATGCAGCAATCGCAACTATTTTTTAACTGTATGTATTTTTATTTTATTTAAACCAGGTAAGGCCCACTGAGCTACATAGCTCTTTATCAGCAGCGACGTCGTGGCTATCACAAATGATCGCTCAACAAAGTGGCCGTCACGTGGGGAACCTCCAGCAGCCTCATCGTCGTGCGGACATTTACAGCAGCCAATTGCTCTAAACGCCGCGTGGTGTTGATTCTAAGTGTAGAGGGGAAAAACCGGAGGACCCGGAGAAAATTCCACGCAACCACGGGGAGAGCGCGAGAGAGAGACACCGCAAACTGCAAATAAAACAGCAGGCGTCAGGGGTCGGGATCGAGCCCACGACTTCCTTCACACCAGGCGAGGGAGTTAACGTCTCCTAGCCACCGTGAAAATGATGATGAGAGGAAGACACGCAAACTCCAAATATACAGCAGCAGGCGTCAGGGTCAATATCTACCCCATGACCTCCTGCACACCAGGCGAGGGAGTTAACGTCTCCTAGCCACCGTGGCCCTCTGCTTCGTCTATACCTGCTTCATCAGCGCTTCGTCGAACCCATCACCGCCGCCGCTCCGCACGGTGCCCGCCGAGCGTGCCACTCCCCCGTCCCCGCGGCGGCGATCATCGCGCCGGGCCCCGTCGTCGCGCCGGGCCCCGTCGTCCGCCGTTGGGCGGCCCGCGGTTGACGCGTCCGCGGAGTCGTAGGAATCGTCCGAATCTTCGTCCACCCCTGGAGAGATCCGGCAAGCTACGAAGCTCTCTTCTGCAGACAGCGACGGTCGCGGAGGCCATCCCTCCGGATGCGTCGGCGCCGCGCGGCGGCGACGACGCCTCTCGCGCGCCCGGCCTGCCGACGCCTGCATCGTCCCAGAGCTGGAATTTAGATTAAGTGCAGAATCAAATTGATATGTGACGGTGGTTTTTCTTGTGCAGTCGCTGGTGACCGTGCTGAGGCCACCAACGAGGTAGACCTCCACAATCGAGGTTTTTACTTGGGTTAGATCGAGTAAATGTACAAATGCGTCGTTAAACCCGCCACCGCCCGACACGGCCAATTAGTGACGAGTTCGGCACACACCGGTTGTGTGTTGGAGATTTCGGCGTTCGGTGGCACGTCCCCGGCCTGGCCTCACTTCCCGTTTGGCCGCGTGCGATGTCACTTCCCGCGTGTTGGCGCCCGCTGGTGATGTCACTTCCTCCGGGGGCCAGATCGCGGGAGCGATGTTCGCCAGGTGAACGCACAGCTTGATGAGCCTCTCCCCCAGCCAGATCCCCACGTCCTGACGCCCGTCCCCGTAACTCCGAACGCCTGGTCCAAAACGCCGGTCGCTCGCGTACAAACCCTGCAAGAGGCACCACAGCAAACGGCGCAAAGTAAAATAATCCGCCCAATAGAGGCGGTTGGGGGCAAGTGCTGTTAGCTAACCACCCATGGTTAGAAATATTACCCACAAGTGACTCAATTGGGATCGGGCACGTAGCCGCAGCGGTAGCGGTGGCAGCGGTGGCAGAATAGCCGCCGTATTGCGAAACCTCGTGGCGCCTTCCTCCGTGACGATTGGCGGGCGCCGAACGAAAACTCGCGCCAACACCAGACGTGCCGAGTCGCAGCCGTCCCTAGATTTACGACGACTTCAGGGAATCCCTCGATCTACGGCACGTTCGGCCTACGACATTTCGCGTGAACGCAATTGACAAATCGTGGACGCTTTTCGATGAACGAAATCGAATCTCCGCGTTAACGGATTTTTTTGCGTTCACCACGCGCCGCGAGATCGTCAAGCGGGAAGCCACGCGGGAGGCTGCGTCGTGATCAGCGACAGCGTCACGGTGGCCCTGCGGTGCAACGGCAACGCCTCCACCATCGCCTCGCCAGTGCAACACGCGGCAAGGTCTTATTGGCGAGTCCCCCGAAAAGGTGAATTACATTAGTTACAAATTATTAATTCAGTCGTTTGAACGTTTACGTTCTTTATTATTATTATTATATAGTGATAAGTGATATGGGTGTATATTTCTAGGTTAGGAGTCGAAAATGACTTGTCTGAAACACATCCCAAAGTTGTAAGTATTAAATGAGTTGGAAAAGCCATTTACGATTTACGAAATGTTCTTTCACGCCGTGTATTTTGAAGAATAGTGTCCCTTTTGTAAGACCGAGGGAAACCTGTACGGGAGACCCTTGAATAACGCGGGATTATCGTTTGCGGTTTCGACTGATCGCTGGCGACCTCTTTGTGTCCCAATTGGGCCACCGCGGGGTTGTTAGTTCTGGCTTCTCATGGCGAAACACGGAGGTACCATCACTCAAGACGCCTCGCGCGTGATGGCGCTGTGTGGCTGCTGCCGTGGGACGGTGTGGGCCCAGCCTCACCACCAGTGTCAGACCAGAGAACACCAACAGGGGAACAGCACAAACACAATGCCACAAGTACATATGATGTAGCTGCTCACACCGAGCTTCAAGTGTTCTGATAGTGCATTGTCTTTGTACTGTTCATGATTCCTTGCAAAAGGTTTATATTTGGTTTAACACGAAGGCTTTCACGACCAATATTATTAATAATAAAGGTTTTTGGCTTAGATCGCGTTATTTATAAATTTGTCGTAACCCTCCACCACCCGACACGGCCAATTAGTAAGGGATTGGACACGTAAAAAACCCGCCGAACAGTGACTACTCCAGCCCACCGGTGTGTTGGAGAGTGAATCCACAACATTTACAATCTGAGTGCGAAGTTTCGCTGGATTCACTCAACACACCGGTGGGCTGAAGTAGTTACATCGACACATTTATTCTTACGCGATCTAACCCAAACACCTTTATTGCGAGGTTTATCTTTGGTGTTTGAACATTTTAACACCCGTTTTATTTCCATAAAGAGTAAAACCTATTCTTATGTTTTCATACTTTGCTACTGGCAAAAAAGGCCCCATTTTAATCAAACAAATTGTTGTTTAGTTTTTTTTGGTTTAGTTTACTACGGAGGGCGAGTCTGAGCTTGTCTATCACCCAGCACGAACGCAACACGGGGGCCAGGGGAGGGCAGCCGTGGCGCGTTCATCGCCATCATCGTCATCATCATCACATTGGGGCAATGTTTGTCTCGGCACGCACGCGCGCCCTTTCACTCCGGCAGCGGGGCAACGCTAAACCCCAGCGACGCGCACACCAAACATCCCGCCACAAAGACAAAGACGCACTCCCACCTCGTATAGCCTTAACAGACTGTCGGGGCAAGTGCTGTTAGCGAGCAGCACCAATGGAGGCTACCGGCATTGTGGCACACAAGGGGGTGGGTGGCCAGCGCCACGCCCGGCCGTCTTTGTCTCCCCAGTGGAAATGTTTTTACACACCGCACCAGTTACTCATTTGAGGCTGGGTCGACCTAGGAGAGGCCCAGGACCGGTTCAGACAATCGTTCGCCACTGGTGGTGGCCGTGAGCGGGAATTGAACTCGGGTGGCCGAGCTCGTAACGCAGCTGCTAACCACTACCCCCCCCCCCCCACTAACACACACGCTAACATATACATACTGTACACAGACATATGCACACAAAGACAAAGATCCCCCTTATAGCCTTAACAGACTGTTGGGGCAAGTGCTGTTAGCGAGCAGCACCTATGAAGGCCGGCACTGCGGCACACAAAGCAGTGGGTGACTAGCACCACGCCCGGCCGCCTTTGTCTCCCCAAAGTGGTGATGTTGACTACACACAGCGCAATCAGGTACTTGTGTGAGGCCGAGTCGACCTAGGGGAGCCCCACAATACCGCTTGAGATAACACGATGTAACACAATTTTTGTTCCTGGGTAGTGTTATTTCGTAATCGCTTTGCCTAAATCAGGGGTCGGCAACCTACGGCTCCGGAGCCGCATGCGGCTCTTCACGGGCTGCTTCTTGACGATATGTACGTATGTACAGTATGTACTCAGATGCATTGCGGCTCTTGAAATACTGAATTTTGTACCGAATTGGAAAGAAATGGCTCTTCTTGTTATTTTGGTTGCCGACCCCTGGCCTAAATAGTATAGAAAATTGCTATTACTCCCCACAAACTTTGCTTTTTTTCATAGCTCTATTTCCCCCTCTGTACTATCCTACAAACATACATTTATTTCACCCATGACTAATGTGTAAGAGATTCTCGCAACATTTTTTATATATGATATCTTTAAACACACTTTTATTTAACTCACTCTGTCTGTTGTTGTCGTTTTCGTGTCCTCAAATCTTGTAACTCAATTTTAACCCACTTCCCAATGTGGTATCGACTGCAAATTTGATATACTTATGTCATACTGATGACAATGCTATATTCTATCAAAAATTTTGTAAAAGTATTTTTAAACATTCACTTTTTATGTTATGTTTCGGCTTGGGTCTAATTGTCCACGTTCAACTCACGTTCGCTGTAAATCACCACGGACCCTTACGTTGTGGCAAGCTTCGGGGCGACTTCCTGGAGTCGTGGAGTTCTGCCATTACTAGTCCGGTACATTTAATTAAAGCGTGTTTAAAAAAAAAGTATTTTTAAATATTACTTCTTTCAATAAAATTGAAAATTGAAAAACATTTTAAAATTAAAAACTTTCACAATTTTCTCTTTTTTTATTACAAATTTTTTTTCCTAGCAACAATTGTCCATCTTACCTTCCAGAGTTGTTTTGCATTGCTCGCAGGTGAAATGAGGTGCCCAGGGTTTGTCTTGATCCCTGACAGGCATGCCGAAATATTCCTTGTAGGCCTCTCACATCTTAGCAGCTGCTTCCACAGAGTACATTTTCGCTCTTGTCTTGATAAATTGGCCGCAGACATAGCAAAATGCGTCTGCCGGATGCTTGCAGCCTCTTGATGCCATCTCAGAAAAATGCAGATATGTATCCACTTTGGCAGCTGGAACTAAACTGAACTGGTGGGCTTAAGGCCCCTGTATGTATATTGCTATTTATATTACTGGAAAGTTCTAGAATGTTCTAGAAGTTACTCCAGGTTTACTCAGCACTGAATCTATCTGGAATGTTCTCGAAAATAGGTACATTTAAAATATCACTGTCCTGGTCACAAAAGAAAAGTTTGTGGGGAATAATAGCCATTTTCTGTACTTTTGAGGCATAAGCAATTAGGAAATAACACTTACTACCCAGGAACAAAATGTTGTTTTGCTACACAGCGGTATTATCGATGTCACTGCTGTTTGGTTGAGCGCAGGGGAATACGAACTCGGGTCGTAGTCGGGATCGTAGTGCAGCGCAATAACAGCCACAATACCACCACCAGCACCACCACCACCACCACCACTATCATCACCAGCACCACCATCACCACCACCAGCACCATCACTACCAGCAGCACCGCCATCACAACCAGCACCGCCATCACCAGCACCAACACCATCACAACCATCACCACTATTATCACCAGCATCATGATCATTACGACCCACACCATCACAATCTCCGGGTTCGTAAGTGTAACGCGGCTAATCGTTACGCTACCGCTCCCCGCGAAAACCACCCCACAACCATCACCGCCGAGCGCGTGCGTCAGCCCGGAGCCTCGTGTCAACAAAGGACGTTCCGCTCCCGACACAAAAGTGTTTGGAGAATAGAGGGCGGTGGTGGTGGTGGCGCTCCCTCTACCTCCCTCTACCTCTCTCCCTCTCTCCCTTCTGTCATCACCGGTTGCTGAGCACGTGGCCCCCTAGATGCCAGGTGAGCCAACGTCTAAACGAAGGCGTGGGTCAAGTTCGGGTCGATACGAACGAGTTCACAGGTTTCGTGAACTAATGACGAGGGGATGGTGGTGGGGGGGGAGGTTATGTACGCGCTGTACCGTACGTATGTACTATGTTGAACTTCGTTCGCACCGTACGTGGCCAACCGTGCTAATCGGAGGTTGCGAGGGGGACACACAACACAAACTAAACACAGAAAGCAAACAAATTAAACTGGCAGCATACTTGGTCGAGAGAGAGGGAGGGGATAAAGAGAGGAGAGGGGAGAGGGAGGGGGGGGGCGAGTGGCTGACACCTGGAAGGTGCTCCCATCCAGGAACGTGAAGAGAGGGGGTAGAGAGAGAGGGGGTAGAGAGAGAGGGGGTAGAGAGAGAGGGGGTAGAGAGAGAGGGGGTAGAGAGAGAGGGGGTAGAGAGAGAGGGGGTAGAGAGAGAGGGGGTAGAGAGAGAGGGGTAGAGAGAGAGGGTAGGGGTAAGGAGGAGCAGAGCGTGCTTCGTCGTGTTGGTGTTTATGTCTACGAAGAAAGTAGCACAGATTGATTTTGTTTCAAAATGTAAAACATGGAAAATATTTCATTTAAAAAGGGGGGGGGGGGGAGCACATAAAGCAAAGTAACGACAAAGTGCCGACTAAACCGAGCATCTTCTTGTTTCCTTTGATCGTAAAAAGCGAGAGAGAGGGGAGAGAGATGGGAGAGAGATGGGAGAGAGAGGAGAGAGAGCTACCCGTCGGAGGCCGTCGGACTGCGAGGGGGGCGGCGTACATAACGAGAGAGTGAGCACGAGAAAAGGAGCGAGAGAATGAGCGAGAGAGAGAGCGAGCGAGCGAGCGAGCGAGCGAGGGCAACATAAAGCCCCGTTTAAAAAAAAAAAATTACGAAATGATGAACGAAACAAAGTGCCGAATACATCGAGCATCTTCTTGTTTCCACTGATCGTAAAAAAAAAAGAGAGAGGGTGGAGAGGGGGGAGAGAGAAGAGACAGAAGAGAGATAGGGGGGGGGGAGAGATGGGAGAGAGAGGAGGGAGAGAGAAGAGACAGAAGAGAGAGAGGGGGGGAGAGTGGCTGTCACCTGGAAAGTGCTCCCGTCCGGGAACGTGAACGAGCCGTAGCCCTCCCTCCTGCCGAGGTAGAAGCGCCCGAGGAACTGCGACCCATCAGGCCACAGGTGCTCGCCCAGCCCATGGCAGCGGTCGCGGAAAAACTCGCCCACGTACAACTGCAACGACACGGGACCCCAAAAGCCTCTCGCTCCTTACTCTTTGGTTCTTTCGGTAAAGTCACGTAGGATCTTTTTGTCTCGCAGTCTGTTAAAAGATCTCATAGTTGTGTGGAAACCCTCCCCGTAGAGGCGGTTCAATCTTGATTTGAAGCTTTCGTGACTGCAGGAATCCATACTCTTTGGTTCTTTCGGTAAAGTCACGTAGGTGACTTTACGTAGGTGACTTTACCGAAAGAACCAAAGAGTATGGATTCCTCCAGTCACGAAAGCTTCAAATCAAGATTCCTCTCGCTCCTCTCGCTCGCCTGGGGTGCGCAGCCGTGGCTCGGAGATGTCAACTCCCTTGCCCGGTACGCAGGAGGTCATGGGTTCGATCCCGACCCTGACTCCTGCTGTATATTTGGAATTTGCGTGTCTCTTTCTCTCTCTCTCTCATAATCATCACGGTGGCTTGGATATGTCAACTCCCTCGCCTGGTATACAGGACTCCTGCTGTTTATTTGGAGTTTTCGTGTCTCTCTCCCTGTGGTCGTGTGGATTTTTCTCCGGGTCCTCGGGTTTTTACCCTCCACACGTATAAACATGTACTTAGGAGTATTTGGCTGCTGTACATTTCCACGTGCTAAGCCACTTCCGTCGAGCTGTCGTTGTCAATGGCCAGCTGGCTTCTGAAAAAGAGCGACCACATCGCTCAGTGTGCCTTAGCTGTTAACATAAGAACATAGTGGAGTTGTTTGCTATCGACCCGGACTTAAGTTTTACATTGGCATGACCGAGACGTGCCAGAGGCCGTGGCCAAGCCCAGTGCCGGATCAAGTTAGTGCGGGGCTTGTAGCATATGTTGTAAAGAGGCCCTACATTAAATAAAAACACAAAAATATTAAAACACAAATTTTTGACTTGCATAGTAAAGTAATTGTATTTTGCTATACAGCCAGATAATACGAGAAATCGCTAACCTTAACCACCCAGTCGTTCATAAAAGTTGAAGGCGGTATAGTACTATAGTAATAGAGCAAGTGCAGAATCACTGAACCAGAATTGATAGCTTGAAAGCATTTAGCGTGGGGCCCTTGAAAGTGTGGGGCCCGTAGCTACTACACATGTAGTAGCTACTACACATGTAGCTACTACACATGTAGCTACTACACATGTAGCTACTACATTTGTATCGATAAGTTGCAGCAATTGCAAGACAAAGATCCCCCTGCCTGCACCCCCCCCCCCTGCAACAGACTGTTGGGGAAAGTGCTGTTAGCGAGCTCCTATGAAGGTGGGCACGGCACACGGGAGGGGTGGCCAGCACCACGCCCTTTTTCTCCCCCAGTGGCGATGTTTACACACAGCGCACCAGGTACTCATTTGAGGCTGAGTCTACCTAGGAGGGGCCCTGGACCGGTTCAGATAATCGTCGCCGGTGTTGGCCGTGAGCAAGAATCGAACTCGGGCCGCCGGGGTTCGTAGTGCAGCGTAGCGCTCACCCGCTACACTTCCGCTGGACCCGCCACGGTGGCTAGGAGATGTTAACTACCTTGCCTGATCTACAGGAGGTCGTGGGTTCGATCCCGAGACTGACGCCTGCTGTGTATTTGGAGTTACGTCTTTCTCTCTCCCCGTGGTTGCGTGGATTCTTCTCCAGGTCCTCCCGTTTATCCCTCCACATTTAGAATCAACGTCACACGTTTATAGTATTTTGGCCGCCGCTATAAATTTCCACGCGACAATCCACTTCTGTCAACCTTTCGTTTGCGATGGGCAGGTCGCTTCTGAAAAAAAGCCACTGTAGCGACTCAGTGGGGGCCTTACATCTGGTGAATTAAAATTAAAAGTTGTTTAGTTTTAGTTTACAAACAATGCTCGCTCGCTCGCTCGCTCACCTGCCCATCTCGCCACGCGAGCCTGCCTCGTCCGTGCCTCAGCCCGCGCAGGGTCTGCCCGCTGTACCGGGCGCCGTCAACATCGCGGCCAAACGCATGGCCACCGTCGTCACCGTCGTCACCGTCGCCGGCAATGCCATCGCCGTCGTCGGCCGGCAGCAGTCTCGGCCCGGGCGCCGCCACGGGCAGGCTGCGCGTGGGCCCCAACTCAGGGCCCGATAAACTTTGTCTCGGGCGCTTCTCCATCGTGACGAGCGATCGTGCGGTCAGCATCTTCTGGCCGGGGGGGCACAAAGGTTCAGGAGGGTGACAAGAGAGAGGGGTTAGAGCGGGTTCAAGCTCACCGCTGTCTCGGGCGTTCATCGAGCTCTTCGGTCAACGGGGAGGTGGGCCACGGTGATGACGGTGGTCGTGGTGGCGGTAAAGTTGCAGCCTGCAACTGCTCGCTCACGCCCCTGCTGGCAGAAGGGCCTTCGCTAGAGGGAGCTCTAGAGAGCCCATACAGAGGGGTATTTGGCCTACTCTTCCACGATGGCCGGATTGTCAACGAACGTTAGCCGAACGTTGGAATGTTTACTGGGCCACCGAGTACCACTTTGTGGGGAGTGAACAGTGGACAATGGTGGAGGTGGTGACGACGACGACGGATATGGTGGTGATGCTGACGATGATCTGAGTCGACTCCAGATCGGAATCTGTAGACATTTGTGAATCAATTGGACATCTGTGAATCAACTGGACATCTGTGAATCAATTGGAGATCTGTGAATCAACTGTACATGCGTGAAAAATACCTTCATAGCTCATCGGATTCCTCCAGTCTAAATAAAGGTTCCGATTCTGGAATTGAATCGCCTGACCCCACCATCACAGTCATAATCCCGGAGAGGTCGATAAAGTGGGTACCACATTGTTGTAAAGTCACGGGTGTAACACCAGTGGCTGTGAGAACAATGTGCCGAGTCTGCCCCCATTGATTACGATGACGGAGTTGCACTGGGGTCGACGGGGTCAGTCACAATCACGCAGGTCGATAAATAGACTATCACTTTGCGGGGAGAGCCAACATCGGCGTCGTGTGGCGAGACTGACATCAACCTGAATTGTCCATTCCACATTCCTATGACAGCGCCCAGCATACTAAGGTCATGAAAAATAACCGTTCACTCGGAGCGTTATTTTTTTGTGATCTTTTTCCTTTCGCATCGATTAGTGGCAACATATCGAAGGTGCAATTGTAGAAGTTGTTATCCACTCAATCGCCTGTCCAGAAGCAGGAGTTTCCATTCCTCCCCTTCAAGGAATGAAGTCAGGGGCGGAGTGTTTACGACGTGCTCGATGTTTCTTGTTATTTTAATGTTTACACACACACACATGTACATCATCATCATCATGCATATCTATAGACGGCATGTTCAGGTTAAACCGTGGCGATAGCAACGGGCCAAAACTCATCTCGCGCAGTAGACGCACAAGTCCAGAGCGGCGCTCGCGAACGAGAAGAAACGCGAACGGGAGGAAGGGAAGACGGCGAGGAGGAGGAGGAGAGAGGCGACACGCGGATTGGAGACCGCACGCCGGGTGGTGACACCACCCGAAACGTTGGACGTTGCTTGGGCAGTCACGCGTGGCGCCCAGACACACGACGACGACGATGTTCGAACCACGCGAGAAACCCACGCGACCGCGGGGAGAGAGACGCCGCAAACTCCACACACACAGCAGCAGGCGTCAGGGTCAGGATCGAACCCACGACCTCCTGCACACCAGGCGAGGTAGTTAACATCTCCTAGCCACCGTGATGATGATGAGAGTGAGAGACACGCAAACTCCACGCACACAGCAGCAGGCGTCAGGGTCAGGATCGAACCCACGACCTCCTGCACACCAGGCGAGGTAGTTAACATCTCCTAGCCACCGTGATGATGGTGAGAGAGACGCCGCAAACTCCACACACACAGCAGCAGGCGTCAGGGTCAGGATCGAACCCACGACCTCCTGTAGACCAGGCGAGGTTGAGACTAATAACGGAGCGGCAGCCACATGGATGAAACGCGCGAGATTCTAACTCCGACCTGCGAGTCGACTCAGTTCACCACCACCACCATCACCACCATCACCACCATCACCACCATCACCATCACCACCACCATCACCACCACCATCACCACCACCATCACCACCATCACCACCACCACCATCACCACCACCACCATCACCACCATCACCACCACCACCATCACCACCAACACCATCACCACCAACATCATCACCACCACCATCACCACCACCACCATCACCACCATCACCATCACCACCATCACCACCATCACCACCACCACCATCACCACCACCACCATCACCACCATCACCACCACCACCATCATCACCACCACCATCACCACCACCACCATCACCACCACTACCACCACCATAACCACCACCATAACCACCACCATCACCATCACCACCATCACCACCATCACTACCACCACCATCACCACCACCATCACCATCACCACCATCACCACCACCATCACCACCATCACTACCACCACCATCACCACCACCATCACCACCATCACCACCACCATCACCACCACCATCACCACCATCACTACCACCACCATCACCACCACCATCACTACCATCACCATCACCACCATTACCACCACCATCACCACCACCACCATCACCACCACCATCACCACCACCACCATAACCACCACCATCACCACCACCACCACCGCCGCCGCCGCTGAGCACCGAGGAGAGATGTAGCGGACGATGCCATCACATCTCGTGTGGCTGGGCACTGTGGGCAGCGAGGGGTCGGGCTGAGATGAAGACCATCGCAGGGGTCGTGAGAGACGGCGGCGGCGTGGAGGGAGAGGCGTCTTTATCCAGCGGTGGAGCGAACAAGGTCCTGACGAGAATGATGGTGGTGATGATGGTGATGATGATGGTGGTGGTGATGATGGAGGTGATGGTGGTGATGATGATGATGGTGGTGGTGATGGTGGTGGTGACAGCGGCGTGGGAGCGTGGCGCTCCTAGTTACTGACAACTTCAGCGAGAAACTCGCGTCCCATTGGACGCGACCACCACTGCGTGCGGAGTGTGATGGGGGTGGTCTCACCCACTGGGGGTGACCACCGCTGCGTGCGGAGTGTGATGGGGGTGGTCTCACCCGGACGTGAGCCGTGAAACGAGACGTCGTCGACCCCCCCCCCCTCGTGCCGAGCCGCGTGAATGGTGCAGTCCGGCGCCTGGTAACAGCAGCAGCAGCCGCGTGATGCACAGAGTTGAGTCGGGCGGGCGGGGACATCGATAGATAAACATCGAGAGAGAATCGTTGATAGATAACACTGGTCAACACACTTTTTCCGGCAGAAGGTATTCCAATGGTTTTAAGGTAATTTTGGGGTGCTGATTCCAAATCTTGCATGAGTTGTTGTCTATCACATCAGGTTTTTGAGATATCAAATATTGGATTTTCAATAAAAACAGCAAATTTATGCTCATATACGAATAGCTAAACAGACATCCATACAAGAATAAGATAAGATACAATATACAATAATAATGAAGCAAACATTTAATGAGCCGTAGCACAAAGTTGTGAGAGTGACTGCATATCAATGTGAGTGAATGCATATTACCATGTAAGAATTGAATTGTGAAGATAAGAAAAATATGTACAAAAAGGTCATTCACAATAGTGATGTTACATCTGCATAAACGACCTCTTCTTTGACGATCTCCGATGTACAGCTTGTGGATTGTCTCTCATCAAGGAGCAGCAGTAATCTGCCATCATGTTTGAGTCCCATCGCCTTGGTAACGTTCTTCCATAACTTGAATGTCTTGATGAAAGCGTTCACCTTGTTCTTCGCTCACGTGACCCATGTTCTCTGGAAACTGGGCCAAGTGACTATGTAAGTAGTGAACCTTGATGCTCATTCTACATCCAAGTGCTTGGCAACTCAAGAGCAACTCCTCCACAATCTCTCGATAGTTGTCCGCTTTCCTGTTCCCAAGGAAATTCCGCACCACATCAGAGAATGCATTCCAAGCTCTAGCCTCTGCCGCAGTCATTGTTGTAACAAAGTGTGGAACCCTGATGGGTGTTCTTATTTGAGGGCCATCAAATATTCCTGCCTTTTTCTTCTCGGCACTGAGACTTGAAAAGGTTGAACATATACTGTATAGCTGAAGCAGTCTGCAGTGTGATCAAGAGCTTTGACGAATTGCTTCATTAACCCACGTTTTATGTGCAGTGGGGGAAATACAATTTTATTCCTATCAACCAGAGGCTCATTCTTTATGTTCTTGTCACCAGGCGTCAAACTGATTCTTGGTGGACAGTTATTTTTAACCCAGTGTTCTAATGTAGCCCTACTGTCCCAGTAGCACAGGAAACAAGGGTATTTGGTGTGACCTCCTTGCTGACCCAGCAGAAAATTAACCATTTTCAAATCAGCATAAATTAGCCATCCATGAACATGGTATTCCAATCTATCCAGAACAATCTTGATGTTGGCATACTCTTCATTCATTTTTACAGAGTGTCCTATTGGGATTGAACCATATATATTTCTGTTGTGAAGTAACGCACATTTCAAACTCCTTTTACTACTGTCAATGAAAAGTCTCCATTCACTTGAATCATATGCGGGCAGTCCCATATTGAGCAGAAGCCCTTCAACATCGTTACGATAAAAGGAGACACTAGTTCCAGGTCTGAGTAGTCCTTTCTCTTGCAGCCTGGAAGCCAACAATTCAGCAGACTGGTTTGGTAAATACAAATCTCTTACAAGATCATTTAATTCAGGCTGACTAAACAGAGACATTTTTATCACAATCTGCATCAGATGGCGTATATTCGATCTGAGCATCGTCATCATCATCATCTGTAGAAGCAGGTAAACTGAGGGATTCAACATCAATCTCTGGTAGCTCAGTAAATACAGGCACAGGTGTTTCCTCACAGTGCTCAACTGGTCGTCTGGCAGATGGGATATCTGGGTATTGTAAGTGTTGTTTGTTTTTCTTATTGAAACCTTTTACATTGACAAGGCAGAAGTAGCAGTTATCCAAATGGTTTGTAGGTTCTCTCCAAACCATGGGCACACCAAACTTCAGCCTAGCATTCTTTCCTTTAGACCATGATCGCAAAGTTTCAACAGGTTTTACACACTTTGTGAGGAGCCCAATTTTTGTCTTGGTCTCCAATTCGTACTTTAAAGTAGGCAAGATAAACCTTCTTGACAAAGGTATTGATGTTGCGCCTTTGATCCTGCAAAGTGAAGCTGCCACAGATGTAGCAGAAGATATCTGGGTCATTACTGCATTTCCTTCTTTCGGATGTTGTAGCCATTGTTAGATCACGCCCTGCAGAAGAAACATATTAAATAAATGTGGATATCTACATAAAATGATATTATAAACACACTATCCTAAAAATACATCACCATATTTTAACACTAAATCAGTCACTGACTCGCAACAACTTGCAATCAAAAGTGACAAGAGTTAATTTCGGCTAAAATGAATGAAAATGGGGTATGCCGATAGCATAAAAATGAGATGTGATAGAGCAAATCTGAGATCAGATTTGGAATCAGCACCCTGAAATTAGTCTAAAACAGCTGCAAAAGTCCAAGGCAAAATTTGTATTTATTTTTTTGTTGACCAGTGTAATAATCGATAGAGAAACGTCGATAGAGAATAATCGATAGGGAATCATCGATTGTTACGTCTCCGCGTGCCTCCGCACTGCGTGGCGGAGAGCGGCAAGAGAGCAGAGGGCGCAGTCCATGGCTGGGCCCTCCCGCCGCGCCTCCAGTGAAGGCGCGCAGGCCACAGCGTGGCCACAGTGGTCCACTGCGTGGCCACGGCGGTCCACTGAGTGACCGCAGTAGTCCACTGAGTGGCCGCGGTGGTCCACTGCATGGCCCCCACACACAGTTCGCGTGACATGGCCACGATCGCACCACCGTGGGGCCGACTCCAACTCTATCTCGCTGGCCTGCGTGCTACTAAGAAAGGGGCCATTTGCTCAAACACGTCGACCGCTAACTTACACGTTTTTTCTCTTCATTCGAAGGCCACGGTCTTATTACAATTGGCGAAATGGGTTTTGGGGGAGCCCCTTTGAAGTGATTCGAGTCGCAGGCGACCAAACGCCCGCTAGGTGTCCCCGTCACACCGCTGAGGCGACATGGCCCGCAGCCGGCAACGCCACGCGCGCACGTGGCGTCTGACGCCCAACCATAAACCATTTATCTAAAACTTACTATTACCAAGAAAGGCCCACTGAGCTATTCGCTGTAAGCACTTGCTCAGAAGCGACCGGGGCTATATGGCGAGTGATGCATCGTCACCGCGTGGACACGGAGAGCGGGCGAGTCGTCTGAACGCGCGATGTTGAGTCTTGGATGTGGAGGGGAAAACCGGAATGCCTGGGGAGCAATCAATCCACGCGACCACGGGGAGAGAGGCAGAGAGACACGCAGACTCCACATACACAGCGGCAGCAGCAGCAGGCGTCAGCGTCGGGGTCGAACCCACGACCTCCTGTAGACCAGGCGAGGTGGTTTATACTGCGCCGTGTTAGAGTGCAACACACACCAGGCAGGCTGCTCTCGTGACGAATTGGCCACCTTCTGTTTAGGGGCCGTCCATAAATGACGTCACGAGATTTTGGACGATTTTTGACCCCCCCCCCTCGTCACACGGCGTCACAAAAAGTGAGACCCCCCCTCGAATATGACGTCACAAAGCTCTGCCCCCCCCAAACCATATTTCCATTTTGAAAATAAAACATGCTTCAAATCGCTTTAAACTATTGTCATTGTAGTGCGTATTTAGTGTGGCGCTGCACTCTGATGTTGTAGGAGTGTTGTTATAACAATTCTTTTTTTATTTAAAGTTGCGCATTTTTATGTGATGTCACATTTTTCAAACCCCCTTTCCTCGTCACACATCGTCACAAATGTCCAACCCCCCCCCCTAGGTGCGTGACGTCATGTATGGACGGCTCCTAAAATGCAACACCAAGAGACAGACAAGACGCCTCCTGTCCGTCTTTGTATCTCCACATAGCATACTCAATTGTATATAGTGCATAGTCAGATATGTGTACATGCATGTGTGTGTGTTCACATGTATGTGTACTCAGATATCCTGGGTGTACCCATGTGTGTGTGTGTGTTCACGTATATGTGTACTCAGATATCCTGGGTCTACCCATGTTTGTGTGTGTGTTCACGTATATGTGTACTCGGATATCCTGGGTGTACCCATGTGTGTGTGTGTTCACGTGTATGTGTACTCAGATATCCTGGGTCTACCCATGTTTGTGTGTGTGTTCACGTATATGTGTACTCAGATATCCTGGGTCTACCCATGTTTGTGTGTGTGTTCACGTGTATGTGTACTCAGATATCCTGGGTCTACCCATGTTTGTGTGTGTGTTCACGTATATGTGTACTCGGATATCCTGGGTGTACCCATGTGTGTGTGTGTGTTCACGTGTATGTGTACTCAGATATCCTGGGTCTACCCATGTTTGTGTGTGTGTTCACGTATATGTGTACTCAGATATCCTGGGTCTACCCATGTTTGTGTGTGTGTTCACGTATATGTGTACTCAGATATCCTGGGTGTACCCATGTGTGTGTGTGTGTTCACGTGTATGTGTACTCAGATATCCTGGGTCTACCCATGTTTGTGTGTGTGTTCACGTGTATGTGTACTCGGATATCCTGGGTGTACCCATGTGTGTGTGTGTACTCAGACACGTATTATGTTGAACTTCTCTCTCACCGTACGTAGCCAACCGTACTAATCGGAACGACCACAAACTAAACTCAAAAAGCCACACACGCCCATCTGGGTGTGCGTTCATCCAGCAGCGAACTCTGGACACACGGCACACACAGTACACACACAGTACACACACACAGTACACACATAGTATACACTGTCACACACAGTACACACACTGTCACACACTGTCACACACAGTACACACATTGTCACACACTGTCACACACAG